ATGGTAAGATATAATGTGTGTTTCAAAAATGTTATAAATGGGCATATTCGCTATTCGCAAACAAAACTTTTGTTTCTTTGTATCTGGATGGTGTACGTGAGAGTCTATACTTTTTGGGAGGATCGGGAAAGAGTTTCAAATGTAGACATGATGCTGATACTGATTACGATTACACAGATACGGCAACTATTACTGATAACAAATAAATTGTTCGCCTTAATTAAATCATTGAGAAATTTTGCAGCGCCGCTTCGGGCAGCTGTATTACTCGTATATGCGTGGCTGCGGCATACTAAGTAGGTGCAAGCAAATTAACGATTTTAATTAATTAGAGATGAATAATTAGGTAAATTGTGTAATATGTTATGTATGGTCGATTTTACCATATATTAATGGAGTATTTAGAATGCATGTATGTAATTACAAGTGAATTCTATATAATATGTAGTAGTTAGGTAGTGGATAAAATTGCAAAAACGTTTCTACTTCATTTGTTTATGTATGTATTTGAGTAGAATTATAAAACGTGTATTAAACTGGAATAAATTAATGTCCATAGATCAAATCAGTACAGAACTAAAGCAGCAACTTGGTGTGTGTTTCAACAAACAAACCAACAAACAATTCAATGTTATGCATTTTATTCATTTTTTTTTTAAGTAAGTTCAAAAACTAAACTTAAGAAAAGCTATTTGTTTCGAAGCATTTTAACAGGGAAATTAAAACTATAAACAAAACCAATTTATCATAAATTGACTCTGCTGAAGTTGCATAAAAACTCGCGATGTACCTTTTTAAAAACCAAAAAATTATTTTGATTAATTATTAAAGCCTAAAGTAAATACAAGGTTGCTAACGTTTAAAATCTTGTATTATTTCATTGCTCTTTATTAAAAAAAAACATGACAAGAGAAGGTTTTTTATTTTCTCTTTTTTAAGTCAAGTTTAAAACAAAATAAAAATAAATAAAACATTAACAATATTTCATATTATTGTATTTAAACAAATTTTTAAAAATACTATTTTGCACGATGCTTGTCAAAATAGTCTAAGAGAATTCAAATTCATTGACTTCTGTGCCAACTAATATGCCAAAATTCATCGATTTCTGTGCTTCGTGTTTTTTACACTTACACGCAACGTATTCAAAGCCTTCTGTAAATTGTCCTTCAAAACGAGTTATGCAAATCAAATATTTATGATTGTGTGTAAGCGTGTGTGTGTGTGTGTGTGTGTGTGTGTGTGTGTGTGTCTTTGTATGCGTTTTAAAGTTTATTTTCTCTGTTGGCTTGTTTGCAATCAATTTTGAAATTGTGCTACCAATGTCGTAAGATGCATGCTTTGAGTTATGCAGCAACAAATACAACAAAATCAAAATGTTACTTTTAAAGGAAAATTACATACATTTATGTATAGAGTATTGTTTAAGTCATAGCAGTTGCGTCACGTATATTGATTATGAGTTAGCCGTTGTTATAATGAAAAGAAACTTTTTGATTTAGTTTTGAATTTGGAGGATGAAATGTGCATGAGAAAATTTGATAATTTGTTGCATACCCGCCAGGCACTACGATTTCTATTGAATTCAACGTGTAAACATTTAATATCAACAATGTAATCATGATTCAACATTGAGTAACCACTTTGGCACTGAACATGGCACAATTTGACCGCACATTGATCGTTTTTTCTCTCAAGCTAACAAGTAGCCTAATGAACCGAGCACAAAAAACGAAGCCATGTTGAAAAATAATAAATTGCAAGTATAGCATGTTTATGTTTGTAAGTATATTATCAAAATAATTTACAGAAGGTTTTGAGAAACAAAAAAATGGCACATTCAAGTCTTAGCTCATTTGATTTATTTATTTAACATAGTTCGATTTTCTCTCCTTTAACACATGCCACCAAGAAACCAATGCCTTTTGGGAAATTCGAATGTAGTTCTTTATATTTTTGCAGTATTCATTTTATTTGCTTAATAATTGGCAACTGTTTTGTGGTTTAAGATCTGTCTGTTTTTTGCTGATGCTGTTTCAACTGGTTTGTGTGCAGTTGCTGAGCAGATTTTGATAGCAAATGTGTAGGCATTTTTATGCAAATTCAAGTGACGTCAAATAACAATAAAATTAGGATAATAAATAAATAAATAAAAGGACAAACGGCAAAAAAAATAAAAAGTTGTATTTAAAAAGTATTTAATTTTCTGAAGTTTAGTAAGAATGCAATATAAGAAAAATCAGGTTAATTCGATTGTAGCGATTGTTGTTTTATAGATTCTGGTTATTTATCTTTTTGGTGTTGCTGTTGTAGTTACTTTGTTTTTATTTATTTTATTTGTTATTTGTTGAATAATTCTTTTTGTGGTACAGCCAGCAACGAATTCGTGTACCTTTTTCTAGGATCCTTGCTATATGTTCCACCATATTTGCTTCTCTGGGCAGCCAGTTCAGTGATTTCTGGTATCCAACTAGCGAACACAGCCTAAATTCAACAACACACATACACTTTTAGAATACAGAGAAGTGCCAAAATAATTCAGTTTCAGTTACAATTGCAGTTTTAGTATTTGGCTACTTGTTGCTGATCTTTGGATGGTGTGTTAAAAGAATTCACAAACTTTCTAAATGCGAGACTCACAAATTCGTAAGGAAACAACGACGGTAAAGCAGACAACGCAGGACAACAAAGGATACATACCTCAAAATCACATAATCACACCGCACTCATTCTAACGATGATTCATACATTCAAGCCAACTCTCAACTCACTCACACACTCATACTTGCATATATACACATTTAACAGGTTCACTTGCAGACATTCGAAAGTATTCGCTCAATATTACATCTAATTGTAAATAATTTTATTTTATATATACAGTTTGGATCTCTGGAAAGATATTCTCTTTAACCGCGTCTAATTATTTACTGTTGTTTGTTTGTACTTTAAGGACTATGAATGTACAGATTTACAGCTGTATACGAAAAGTGCTATGGCTACCAAGGAGTCTGCGGAGAGAGATGTCGCTCGACTAGGCACACGTATACGAGTTTTTTTAGATTTGGGGTATTATAATGGCTTTATTAAATACAAAATATAGCGATACTTTCAGTTCTAATGGTGTGCTAAATGTTATGCAATGTGATTGAGCGAACTGAAAGAAACCTAGAATTTGTACGGTTAATATGCTCAAATGCCTTGTTGTTCAATGTCGTACTTAATATTGATTATAGAATAAACTTCGGCTAACCGAAGCGAAAGACAAGTTCCAAAACCAGAGAAAATGTTTAATTTAATTTTAATTTTAAAAGAAATTTTAACAAATGTGCAACTACAATTTCTTTTCATTTCCCACAAATTTACCATAAGTTAGCTCGGAACGTGCATTTTCTTATGGGGCTTATGAATATTAGCCGGACAATTGGCAGACAATCGTTTGTATGGACCCAAATACACTTAATAGAATAACCAAGTATAACCTGGATAACCTGGAAAATGTCTCGAAAAAAACAAAATAAATAAAGTAATAAGCATAATTTAAAAAGTTGAAGACATCGATGTACTATTTATGTTATGGTGACACTGATACAAAACTGCTTACTTAAGGATCAAAATTTAAATGTAATTATTGCATAATATAGCTTATACTCTCTTCAATATATAAATTAAGATGATTACGTATACTTTGAAATACAATATTTTATTGGGTAATGCGTGACCGATGCTTTTAAATTGTGTTATCAACAATGCGCCTTTAAGTTTTGCATAAATGCTGTAGGATATTGACGAAAACAAAAACAAAAAATAAACCAAACCTTTAACTATCTCAAGTTGATAAACGCATGTTTTGTACTTCTGGTGTTAATGCAAGAAACGTTTAAAGCATAGCAAATAAAACATAACTAAATGTAAACAGGAAATGAAAAAGTAAATGGACAGCAAATTCGGGCCAAGTGTAATGTAAAACACACGCCTACAAAGTGTTTATAGAACGAATTGCTAACTAATTCAAACAAATGTGTGAGACGTTATCAATTTAAAAAAAAAAAAAAATCAAAATACAAGTACAAAAACCCTAATAACTTTACTTGAAAAATTGATCATTTACATACAAATTGTATATGTAGACGACTAACTGATCTGTAGAAAAGAGGTTGTGATTGTATTTATTGAAAGGAAAATGTATATTTTAAGGAAACAATTGAAATTAGAATGTAGAAAGTACTTTACTTTTTGCTCGTATGATTTATCAGCGCGTTACGCAATGAGAATAAATGTCATGTTTTCTGTTTGGGTATATTCATTGAAAAAGTTAATTAGGTAATCATGACTCTTATTCGTCAGAGTTGACTGACAACTATATTTTTGAGGGTAAATATATTAGTAGAAATTTGCATTACAGTCAACATCGTAAGCGAGTTACCAAAATACAAATCCATTTGGTAAATTAAAAATATAACAAAGGGTAACAGACTAAGTATGTAATTTGATTATTGAGTGTTAACGTGACTATTCATTACTATTTATGGGTTGCTGTGCTGTACGAAAGATTTTTTCTCGTTCTCTACACAGAGTTATCGCAATAATCGCCTAGACTTTTGACTTAATACTTGAAGAATATATTTTATTGAAGTTGGATTCATTTATAGTTATGCTGAAAAAACAAAACTCAAACTTTATATTCACTTTGAATATATATATGAATGTATATATATATATATATATATATATAGATAGATAGATATATACATAAAATATGTTCATATACATGTATAAGACATATATATGGGAATTAGTTAAAAAAAAAAACTTTTTTACACAGTTTTCTGTTCTTCAACAACATTTAGTTAGGCTATGCATTTGGAGACCCTCAGCTTGATATTATTTGATTGGTATTGGTGTTACAGTTATTAATATTTATTTATTTAAAATTATGTTTTTCAATTTGATTGTGATGTTGTTATGTCTTTTATTGCATATGGAATGTTATAGACTACCTCTTTCCGTGTTCTCTTTTCAGTTCACCGCCATATTTATTGCCACTACCAACGAGTTCAATTATTTCCGGTATACTGCTGGCAAACATTGCCTAAAATATTCCACACATACGAATACATAAAAATTAACAAGTTTGTTTAGCAAAATCAATTATTGTTAAAATTTAAATGATTGTTGTGTCTAAGCAAAAGGTCTCGAAAGAAAACACTTCGTCTGCCTAGTGGGTTCGAAATGAGGTCAAGGCAGTCACACCAGAGGAGGCATATACTTAATCAATATTTTGGTTATCTCAATATTTGTATGTTCCTAAAAGCAGTGGTTAAATTCTCAAATGAAAGTTGCGACAGCCAGCATTAAAGCATGCAATTAACAAATACCTTAAATGTGATAATTAGGACAGATTGATTATATGCATGTATGCAATATGAGATAAATTTTAATCAATGTCAAGACCCTGACTGGCTACCTGATCTGTTGTTATTACTTTTTGTTACTTGTCAAGGTGTCGGTGTTAGTGTCGGTGTCTACGAGTTGTTGTTACCAAACCAAAGGTAAATAGAAAATTCAAATATATGTATACAAAAATAGAGAAAACTGCATGCATTTGGTTCGATTGTATTGAAAACAAAAGGCAACTGTTTTAAAAATGAATCAACTACCAGCTGCTGTACGAGTAAGTAACATATGTAAATGTCTCTGAAAGTGCGGGCGAAGAACAAATCGAGAGTGGCTAAATTAAACCGCACGTTGAAACGCGTTAAGCTTACGTAAGTGATTTAAAGCTAACGGAACTGGGATGAACGCATAAATGAAACTGAGTCTCAAAGTAAACGTTTTTTTTTTAATTAAATCGGTGCAGCGTTATTAAGTCGTTCTATTTATGTATTTACAAAAACGTAGCATATTTCTTAAATACGGTTTTATATAGATTAATTGAATAACATATAATGAATTGTAGATAAATCCTTATGCTTTAAGTCGGAATGTAATTGTAAAGGGACAACGCTTGGTACGAGTTCAGGTTGAGGTTGAATAAAGTAAAGTGCTACACTTGGTACATGAGTAATTTTTTACTGGTTCTGGTACTGGATGGTTTTGGTTACTTGAATACTTTATCGCTAAGCTAGTTTTGAGCACAACTGTACTAAGTACGTTAGGCAACAACCAAAACTTTAATCATTCACACATAATACCACTGCCAACACCGCTGCTGCTTGGCCTAAACTCAATGGTCCTCGATGTAAATTGGGTAAGACAGAGGCAGACAGAGAGAGATAGAGAAACATTGTCTATATATGTAACTAAAAGAAAGTTTGGATAATGTTGTAGTACATATTGTTGTTGCTTTTTGTGTAGTATATTGTTGATTGTTTCAGCATATTGTTGTTACACTTACCAAGCCGACGAGCAGAAAGAACACGAGAAATGTTCTTCCCAAGACAGTCTCACAGTAAACGTCACCATATCCTACCGTTGACATGGTCACAATTAGGAAATAGACACAGGTCCAATAGGATAAACGATGAGCATTATTAAAATCCAGCGGATCGCCAGAGTTCTCCAGCTAAATTTTAAGAAAATGCAATTGCAATTTTCAATTGCAAACAAATACGCATCAGCGATTATTCAAATTGCACATTTCCTATGCCATTGGACACTGGAAAAAGCGCTACGCACGCCCTCCCAGCTATTAGCGCCAGGCTCATGCTCTGTAACAGCGTGCAGCGCGGCGTATGCGTAATCTTTTAACTGGCTCGGACACGCGCTGCAAGTCTGTCACAGAGCCGGCTGGAAGACGCGCGACACGCATAGCTAAATGTATGTGTAAATGTTAGCTGTGAGTGTGTGTCTACATACCAGATGTATAATGCCCGCTGCTGTTAACCACACGGATATAAAAATTGATACTAGTTGAGCCAAGCGTATTGAGCTCGATGTTTTTAGTACGTTTAAATATTGTAAAATATCTGGAACAGTCATGAGACGTAGCGCTCGAAGAAATCGAAGACCTGTTTATAATATATATTGACACAAATTATAGTTGCCACACGCAGAGTAAAGCACATTGCATGCATACAAATCGATCTAGGCACGCCCTTAAGAATTATTTCGAATTGTTAAATTAAACATAACATATTATATAAGGCGTTCGTGAGTATGTACGTAAGTGTATACGTTTGTGCCTGTGTATGTGTATGTACAAGAGATGAAAATCTTCTTTCCGTGAAACCGATTTGTATGCATCAAATTTAGGGAATTTTTTAAAATTATTAATTTTGGGTATTTCTTTTTTGAGCTTACCGATCCATGTTCGATCTAAATATATTGATACGAAGGACGGGGGTATTGTAAAATAATCTACAAAACTGTACATTTCTAACATAAACCAAAGCTTATCGGACGCCGCTATGAACTGTAAAAAATTGTTAATGAAAGAACACAATCACGTTTAATGATTTGTCAAAAGAGATGCTAACTGATTATATACTGAATGCTCAGCCAATTGATTTGCGATAAAATAAATAGAGTGTGCCGTGTAAAACTTACTCGTATAAAAAAGTAAACCATAAAAAATATATTGAATGCGAGATCGATCTGTTGAGTAATGTTATTACTCCATTTTTGGCATCTTTCGACTTCTTCGCTTGATGCATCAACAAAGTATATAATGAGAGATGCAATGCTGAGTATAAATACGAGTACGACCTGAAAAAGAAATGGTTAAAGAAAGATGATAAGGAATTTTCTATAAACTTGGCACTAAATTAAATAAAAATATGTTGAGTGTTTAAAGTAATCTTAGAACCATGATCTCGTAACAGAAACATGCTAAAGCTATATTTTATTTTTTTAAATATGTATCATCTTAAAATGATGTTTTCAGTTTTGTACTAACTGAGGGTATCTGAAGGTTCAGCCGGATTTGTAATGAGTTTGTTATTCTCATTCACAAATTGAAGAGTATATTGGGTTCGTCTGTTTGTCCCATCGCATAAACCAAATTTTTCTTGGAGATATTGAATTTAAAGTTTTAAAAGGAGCGTGGCAAATTGTGATAGTAGATAAATCTAGATATCTCTTAAAACATGTTGTGGCTAGCCCGTATTAAGCTGTTATTGGACTGTATTACACAGTTGGTGGCATCCGACTGCAATATTCCTAGTTGATTTTATTTTATTGTGTCCGATTAAAATAAAGATATTTTCAAGTTAACCATTATTTATAATTTACAGGGCGTCTCCTACCCGGACACTCTCGACAAGAGCACTATTGATTGTTGCAGATGATGTTAAGATGACAACCTCAAAAGGACGCCAACGTAACATTGTCAAAAAAATTAAATATATATATGCCAAGTAAGAGGAGGCTAAACCAAGAGTGCTTCGTTCAAGGTTGCGCGACTAGGGGATGTCCTGTACGTAGCTTCAAATCATATATTCATTTACATAATTTTTTTTGTATGCTTAAAGTACTTAAAAGGTAATTACGGACAGTTTCCGCTTTTTGACTCAATTGTATATCCTTGTAGAGGGTATTATAATTTGGTCATGAGTAACGCATAGAGGGAGACGTCCCTTACCACATTGGGTACATATATTCTCGATCAACAGGAACGTTAGGAACGAAAAAAGTATTCTATTTGCCAAGATATTTTTATCAAACTCAACATTTACAAGCTTCACTATTCTCAGAAATCTGTAAAAGTGTAGCGCAAATGTCTACAAGGGTATTCTGCGTGCCGAAGATGTCCTTACTTTCTCGTTTACTTTAAAATGAGCTTCTAGCATTCACAACGTGATGCCTAAAGTCCCCAAATAATATTTCTATCTGACTGTTCTTCCGCATAAAGGAGTGTTTGAACAGCAGTTCGGAGCTAGGTACTGGTTATTCCTAGTCGGAAACTCTCGACAATAGCAGTATTGTTTAGTTTCAAATTTATACTCTTTGGTAATTTCATTCTTATCAAATAATAAAAATATATATATTTATTCATCAGTTTATATAAATCAGTTTGAAAGCTTCTTAGCTCAATCAGTCAGTCAGTCTGGCCAAACAGTTTTATATATAAAGATACGACTGATTGTGCTAACGGACTGATTGACTGATGTCATGGATAAAAGGATATATATATTATATTATTATTTAATAGAAGTTTAAGCAATTATCGAGTGTATTGATTACACTGTTGAGTAGAGTGTGTCCGCATCCAAAAACCGCTCTATCAATATTTCGTTAAAGTTAAAATAATAATTGTTATATATAAGAGTTAAGATCATGAAAATCCACATTGGCAAATAATTAAAGTTTGTGGCCCTGATTGGTGATCAACGCACAACCCAAACCGTCAGCCCTGGGAAGCCTAATTTCTTACCATCATTATTATTATATTATTATATGACGGAATTTTTGAAAAATCTCAAATGAGTCTCGGAAATATGCTGGATAACGGTTGTATGAAACTTCTTCAAATAAGAAGATTGTGTAATATTCACTTTACTGAAAAAATATGCGGGCTTTAGGTTGAACGGGAAAATGTTTAGCTGGATGTTTAGCTGGGCCGAGGTATGAGTAAAAATTCAAATATTTTTACTCTTGTTGGAGTTTATAGAAAAAATCACATTGAACGGTGTATGGACAAAAAGTTAAACAGTTTGTAATTTTACACACAACCTTAACCTCGAGCCAGCCAGCTTTATTTGTCACATCTAATTTTGTTTTTATTTGGAAAAATCTTTGTTTTTTTTTTAATCTTTTTAAATAAGCTCAATCAGATGTATTCCTTATAATATTACTTTCTGGTATGTTTTTCTGTCATACCTTGTTTACAACCATTAAGTGGTGTATCCGTTTCCTAGCAGAGATGAATAGAAAAAGAAATTGGATAGGATTATGCATTCTTAATTGCGCTGTCGCATTGGACCCACAGGGACCATCTGCAGCCATTAGTCGAGGGCGTTCTTGATAAATCTGCTGGAATCATGAAAATGTTAAAAGGTAATTTCGGCAGGGCTTCTTCTGCTTGAAAAAGCGCTCGTAAGGCCGCAGATGTCCATACAGGGAGCGAGTGAAATGTCAGGGCTTTTTGCCAAAACGTAAATGCCAGTAAAGGTAAATCAACTTGGGACTGGCGCTCTCTTAGCCAACATTGTATCGACTTATGCCACTTCATGCTATTCTAAATGGGCTTTATTGTTATTGCCGTTGTTAGGGTTTCCGCTCAGCCTTATAAACGTAATTGCTTTGATAATCAAACAAAACAAAGCATAAAAGTAAAACGGAATTTGGCAAAAACAGCACGCAAGCTACTTATGCCCCAAGTTGCATCTGATTTTTTTGCTGTTGTCATGCAAATGCAAGACACACTATATTATAGTTTTTGCACAACAACATTTCAAAATTGGCTTTAGTTTAATCCAAAACTTTCACATAGAGATTTCAAAAGCTTAAGATTACATATACACCATGGGATGCCGGCTGACTTTTCATTAAGCTAACTTAATTGCCAGTGACATCTAATGAAATTGAACCATAATCTCATCCAGTGTTGACGTAAGGCTTTCCTTTACGTTTATATCAGTAGTGAATTCAAGACTGACGTCATCAGGACAAGGAAATCAATGCAGCACCCAAGCCAGAAAGGCGAAAACGGCAAAGTAACATGACCACAAAGATTATATAATTTCTTGATCGTATTGTTATTGCTGGGATTATTCCTCTTTTGGTAGGAATCACCAAGAAACTGGCTCAGTCACTCTGCTACGAGCTCGTCCCGAAATGTATCTGATGTGGTGCAATAGCCAAAACGCAAACAAATGTCAAACTATCCCAAAATATATGTAAGGAAACATACCTGCAGTCTTAAACTCCAGCAGAGAATATTTTAATTTTGTGTATAACGGTTTTAAGGAGACATTTTTGACCGCTTAAACCTAAATGTTATTAATCAAGAATAAAAATACTTTCTGGTATCTATCATGTACATCTGTTGCCTATCATATACATTTAGAAACATCCATTATACTTTTTACCTATTAAAAATGGGTAGTATGGTAAAGTAATGTGGGTCATAATCAACTGATTTCAGAATAAGACTGTTGATTGCACCATGTTTATTTATTCGATCAACTTCGAAATACTTTTCCTACATAAATATAAATGTCGTTTACAACTGAACTTTAGAGCTGGGTGGAAAAGCGGTTTAACCCGAAAATGCTGACTCACACCTCTAAATGCAAGATCTCATGTTTGAGTATATGCATACTCTTTGAAGCAATCTGGATAGGATCAGTTTTCTTTAGAAAATATCGGTAGATGAGCTGTCTAAGTGACCCGGTCATTCAGGCAACTGAACGGATGGACACGTTAACCTATTTCTTTTAAAATAAGTTTAATACTATATCGTATACTTTAAAAACAAGAGTGCTTAAGTCAATTGTGCCAGACTAAGAGATATTACTATTACCTACTATGAATTGCGTGCTTAAATATATTTGGGGCTTATTGTATTATTGTACCGGACATGCTTGCCCTCCGCAGAATATTAACTATTTTTAAGTTGATTATATCATTAGAACTAAATTTGCTATCTCTATTTAAAATACGAAATCAAGAAAAAGGAAGGTTAATACTGATAATACTTGACTCAAGTATGAAATTATTATTTCTAACCATTTTTTGAGTGAGATCAGCACCATTTTAGTATATCCTGCCAAAGGGCATTGAGGGGAAAAAGGGTGTCAGGTATGAGAAGCGGACGATCTAGCCTGTTTTTGTGGTTCAGCAGTCTGTCGCTATAACTTCTGGAGTGCTGTTTGATCTGATCCTCAATAGAGCATCCAGGTGTTCTCCCGATTCAGGTCTTGAACCAAAATCGATCCACAAATGTACCAGTATACCAACATTGAAGCTTCTTGATTTTTAGATCAATACAATAGCCCGCTTTATAAAACATATTGTCAAAAAGCATTGGCCTCACATCAGGACTCATTCATGAAAACGGAGCAAGTTTTAAATGAAACAAACTTTTTTTCCCTTTTCCTTTGCATTGCCCCAAATTCCAAATTCCAGGTCTATAACTTCTACAGCCTCCGAGATGGGTGTGATCATACAGATGGACAGATAGGCAGACGGTCTAGGTCAAAAATGTATATAGTCGAATGGGTGCTGGGTAAAAAAGTTGGTTTTGGTTAGCTTTTGTACAAGTTTTACGCGGGGTGATATCATAGTATTGTTTCGTATAAAAGATTGCGCGATACGTGACAAATACATTAAATTATTTACTACTAACTACAAGTATTTAAAGACTGCCAGCTGCTCACAAAATAAACCAATCAATAGTAATGGAACGACCACAGTAAGAATGGTGGGACCTGTAGTTTAATGGCCCCAGTGCTAAGGCACAATGCGGTTTTTAAAGAGTGGTGACTACTCGTTTTGAAGCAGTTCCATGGCGTGACCATGTGCAGTCGGATGTATTCGACCGCCCCCAGTAAGCTGCCATAAATGCAGCTTGAAGGCTTTCGCTCCACTTCCGCATTGACGTCGCTTTAACAATTTAAAGCCAATTAGCTGCGGGGCTAGGCATGAAGTATTGGCCACCCAAGGGCGAGTTCATTCTAGTTTGTTAACGGAAAACTTTCGATTAGAGTGGATGGTAGAATAACACCGATTGTGTAACAGTCCAATAGAAGAGGAATACATATGTTACTTGCAGTATATTTAAGCCAAACAACAACAATAAAAAGAATAGCAATAACAACTATAGAACAGAACCGAAAGGATACCACGCATATGCATAGAGGCTTGGGCAAAACGTTCAGAAAGCGGCCAAAAGCTGCAATGCCAACAAATATACGCCGCTGTCTGCCAACCAATTGGCGTGTTGGCAGTAGGCCTGGCAATATCCATTTACCCTAACTCGCGCTCCCTCTCCATATATCGCTATATTGCCTCGCGTCTGCCATCCTTGGCCCTGGTAACAGTGAAACGTGCGAGTTTTTATCGATTTTCTTAGACTTTTTCTTGGCCCACTCGCCCACACTATTTACTGTTATTTCTCCTTTTTTTTTGTTGTGGCTCTTTTGGTGCGCCAACATATCCGTTAGCTTATTTCATTTTGCCCGTTTCCCGTTATTAGCTGCAAGTTCTTGTTGGCTTAAAGATAGCTCTTTGTATATAACAAAATGTCACAAACAGAAATCAACTTGTGAAATGGCAATTGGAAAAGGGCATAATTATTTTTTGCACATGTGATGATTAGAATTACTTTACTTTTTGGATACTTTAACTCGTTCAACACCAGAAATTAATATATTAACCTGCTAATATAAAGCCTTGAGCTTTTTATATAAACAAATGTTGGTTTCAAATTCAAGTATTTCCCATCGTCTGCTTATGTATTTGTGTGTTTTAATCTTTTAAATAAAGAGCGAATTATTGAAAGGGCAGCCCACTGCAGGGGACAGGGAATCTCTTCTTCGGGTATTCCCAACTAGCGCACCCTTTCTTTATTACTTGCTTCTTGTTATCGTGGCAGCATTGAACTGTCATATGATAATGGAAATAATGTATTTCGACTGTGTTAGTTTTAAGAGGAAATCAATTGATGCATACGACCTTTCTATCTGTTATGCTTGATAAAAGCAAGTATTATCATACCAAATGTGAACAAAGCGCGAAATTAGAATTTTAGATAACAGTGCAGGGTTCAATCTGAAAATGTTTGTAGATTCCCCAAATTGGTCGAACGGAGCAATGTTAATTAAAATATGCAACATTTTCTATTATACGCATTTTGTGTGCTTACAAAAGTATGCTATACAAAATGAATCGATAGTTAATATAAAAGGAAATTTAATTCTTCTTTCATCTCCAATCTCAAAACCCAATTTACAATTTCTAAATCAGTCACACGCCCATAGATATATACACTCGATTAGAAGACCCCTCCTCGCTTTATACTATAATAGCGGGTATAAGCCATCCTTTGCGGCTCAAGTATTCTTGGTTTGAAATTGTTTCCCAAATGAGTTTCAGGTCGATCGTATTATAAACAAAAAGTTTCATTCAACCATTTACCGTCAAATTCTAAAACGCTGAAATGGGTGTTAATAAAGTTCTTATGTAGGGATTTGAAAATAAGTTTGAAACACTTCTCAAATGAGCTTTCATAAGGATCTTTGCCTTTGCTTTGATCTTCGTTTCCACAAGGAATTTGTGATTATTTTGAAAAGTGTCAAACACCTCCCGACTAAATATGCGCATAGATCCTTGCAAATGCTCTTTAAGTGCTGCCGTAAGAGGAAGAAGCCACCTTCTGCCTATTAGATATTACTTTTTGGATACCTTTTTTTTCCATTCAAAAAGGCATTTTCAGTAGCGTGGAGCTAAGGGAAGAAAGAGGTTAGTGTAGAAGGGAGCTAAAATACTTGTGACGTCAGCTTGGTACGCTCTTCAGGAAATCACCTAGTAAGACATTCCCGAGTCGGAGACTCTTGAAAGTTTAATAACAGCCGCATACAGCTTGAAACTCTAAGCACTAAGCTTTGACTTTCAAAGTATGGTTTTAGGAATTAGAGACGTTTTTGCTTATAGGGTGGGACTAGGTGTGAATCTATTATTTATGTCTCAATCTTTAAAAGAAGTCATCAGTTATCTTCATGCCAAATTTAACCTCAAAAACTCTGGTAGGGAGAGACTTTGCATACTCAAAAACTGTGTATGTATCAATTTTGGCGGCCTTTTAGTGGGCGGGAGAAAATAAAATCTTGCGAATTCACGGGAATATATGCCAAAAACCCAATATAATCTTTTATACTTTGATAACAAAATAAAAAAAAAGTGATCTAATCTAACAAAATGATTAATATAAAATTAAAAAAAAATTCGTCGGCAACTTCTAAATGTCTGAAAATAAATTCCTCTAGTAGCGTACGGCTTAGGCAGAAGTTCACATTTAATGGATGGCTGCATAATGTGACATATGCATAATATTAAATTAAGTTTGTTTGCACATGTCACCTGGTTTCTTTCATAAGCTATCATTAGTTATCAGAACATATGTTTATTTCTAAGTAGCTGGTGGAATTAAAAACACCAAAGCAGCCGCTTTCCAGGCCACTAAATCAATTTGCTGGCGAGTATTTGTGGTACATGGAAATGGTTGATTTACTTTGCTGCTTCCGCTGTTGACATGCATGACCTACAGTGGCAGCAACGAAATGTGGCTAAGTAAAATGTAAATTTTACATTTTACACGCAACCAGCTTGCCCTTGCAAATCGAATAAAATGGTCTGAAACTGAATGAGTAACCCGAATGCACTTGAATAGAATTACTGCCCATTTTTATCGGCCACGTAATTGTTTCGATTTGTTGTAAATTTCCAAGATTAAACAGAATCAAAGTGGAATTTCCACTTAAAATACTGATGTGGGAGGGATGGGGATTATATACTTACCAAAATTCGACCAGTTGTTGTTTGACCCGAGATAAGCTCTCCAGCCCAGTCTTTTGCTTCTGTCATAAATGTTCCCTCAAACTCCTGTTTGTTACGTGACGCCTTTTGCTCCTTTTGCTTGGGATCGTTGGGTCCCAGGTCCGGCTCCTTGCGGCAGCAGATGAATGCAAACGCACGCCATAGCAGCACAATAAGCAGGCCAGCAAGGAATGTGAATATGCTAGATAGCAGGAAACACCAATATTTGCGAACTTTGAGACAATCATCGGCATCGAATGGTGAATCTGTTGGATCATCGGCCAATGATTCGACAGTGCTTTGATCACACCCCGACATCCCCTGCAAAATGCACATAGAACATTCTTAAGTATTCAGAATAATCAGTCTATTAATAATCAATTAGCAATTAAATAATAACTATTACCATTACAAATAATATCTACACGAGACAATATTATGAGCACAAGGCGGCAGCCATTTATAAATATGTATGTACATATACTTAAATACATATATAAACAAGTATGTATGTTTGTATGTAAATGTATGTATATATACGTACATAGTACGTCACGTTTGACATTTAGAATGAGCACATTTTTTGGCTCAAGTTTGCATCGCAAAGCGCATAAATGTAAACAAAAATAACAGTTTTCGACGACCGAGAATGTAGGCTATTAACACTTAGTTGTAAATGCTAAAAAAAAAAAGTATAGTACAATTTATCTATTAGATACAAAAATAAGCAACCGATCAACATGAACCAATTATTAAACTCATGGCTTACATTTGTCAATACACTGATATTTGTGCCGATCAACCCGCTTGCCATTTCAGTTGCTTACATTGCGACGCACTGCACTATATACACTATATAAATATGTACAATTTGTATGATATTGTGATTATGGTTTGGTCGAGGCTCTCTGGGCTTTCAAGTGCATAAGGCTTTCATAATGACGCCACCAAAGAGCCAACAGACGCGACTGCGACAATAACGGCGAAAAACGACAGAAAACTTGGCACGCCTTTAAAAATAGCAACAAACAAATCTTTCTTCTTTTATTTTTAAAGTTGTCTCGCAATGTACACGACACACGCACAGAGATGGACACCACACACGAGCAAAGAACGCGACTACAATTTTCTTAAGATGTCAGATTTGGCAATGCGACATTTAACATACGAGTACGAGCACAGACCTAGATACACCGACTACTAGATACATATGTAAGTATCTGATCGACTTACATTAGCTTAACATCCTCTCAACTAGTACACGGTGTTTTATTATTATTTTATGGCAAAATGAAATTTGCACGCTTTTCAATAATTAGCAACTGGGGCCAACGCACTCAATGAATCACTGCGTATACTACTATATATGTAAATATATACATTTATATATATGTTATATACATATATATTTATGTATATTATAGATACATCTGCATCTAAAAAACACACGCAACAGCACAGCACGCACGATTAAGGCCAGCACCAAACAAAAAGGAGGCAACGAGCGAACAGCACAACCGACGCGCACCAACTGAAAATGAACGCCGTCTGCTCAGCTGCTTAGCTGGCCAGCGTGCTATCTCCTGACGCGGGCGCGGGCTCGCTCTCTCGCTGGCTGACCGCGAAAATTGTCAACGCAGGCGACAAAATTGAATTGAATTAACAGGCACGAAAAATGAAAACAAAATTTAGCATTTACACCTCCCACACCTGCATACTCTACTCTAGAAACTTCAACTGTAACTTATCTAATACAAATGTTATCTATATTTAACTATGATACTGACTCTTCCTGACTCTGTCTAAAAAGTGCCACATAATTCGGGGATCTACTACAACAGTTTTATAGCCGCAAGTTCAGATTTTTTAAGTTTACCTTTGATTTGATTATAAGTATTATATTTATAATATAATTCTGAATTTAGATGTAACAATGATGGCTTAAGGCTCACGGCTTACGGTTGAAACTTGACATTAACATTTATTTTAAGTATCTTATTTATTGGATTGGTAATTTGATATTCTTGCTCAGGTTCCTCTATATCAAACCTAATTCAGCTGTTCTTTATTCAACCCATCTGGCTTAAGGCTCCGTTCAAGGAACAAAAAAATTGAAATTCCTGGTTTAATCCGGCTCGCTTGAAGATTTTTAAATTTTTCTATGTATGAGTTAGCTAGCTAGCAAACTAGTTGGGGTCCTTTTGGCCAGCTGCATAGGATTCATTTAAGACTTCCGAGATTTCTTGTATTTCAATCAGTCAGTTTATTTGATAAAGCTTAGTATCTTGTAGTTGTTAAATTTACACATACGTCGCCTCAAAATGATGATGCCCGGGGAAAGTGTATTAGAACATACGTTTGTATAATATACATATATACCCATATATATGTCAGTGTCAATGTGTGCGTGAGTTGCCAACAATGAATTGTTATTACAACAACAAAAACAGCAGGGCAAATATATAAGTATAAATAAAATATGAGTTCTCTTGTTGTTCTGCCTAGTGCCGTTCTAAGCACACAAACACACACACACAATCACATTTTTGCATTCCTCTCTGCGCCCAGCGGCAAACGAGGAACCGCCAGGTTAACTCAGCCCAGTCACGCCATGTTGCCAGTAAGCTGTCGTTTCATAATTTACGCGCTTTGTTTGCTATTTCCTGCGGGGACAGGCCAACAACGACCCCAACCCCAAACCCAACCACAGCAACAGTCCACCGTTTCCTCAAACATGGCAACAAGCTGCCCCAGTTAAATTGCCTCCGGTTTACCTACGCGTTTCCACTAGCCACAGTTGCTCATCATCAACAGCAGCCGCGGCAGCAATGTGTATTTATATACCCTGAACCCATAGAAAATTCGTAAAAACGGTATATTGTATTTATGCAAATGTACGTAACAGGCAGCAGGAAGCATCTCCGACCCCATAAAGTATATATGTTCTTGATCAGCATCAATAGCCGAGTCGATCTAGCAATGTCCTTCTGTCTGTCCGTATGTATGACGAGTTTGTACTTGCCCCGTTTCCAAGCAATCGATAAAAATCGATATCGAAATCCTGTTTTTTGAGCAAATCTCGTAAGTTATAAAAATTAGGGTCACCAAATTTGACACGTAGCTTCTTGAATAGTATATATACATATATCAAACATCTTTCGTTTCATAGCTAATGCCACCTGCCCGTCTACACTACCCACCAATCTAAGCAACAATTTTATTGCAATTGTCTTTTTGAGAATATAAGAATATTCGATAGCATAATAAGATCTACTGTTGAAAATTTTATTAAAATCTTTTAAGAAACACAGAAGTTATTATAGAAAAAATATTTTGGCTGGTCACGTTTGCGGCAGCTAGCGCAAATTGCAGGAATTTCTGTATACACACACACGCATTCATGCGCGTTTTTGTTTTACATATTCTATCAACAGCATTGCAATATCGATTCTATAGTTTTCTGTGCAGTGTGTATGTGCTGCTATTTTAATTCGTTTTTTTTTTCTCAATGGAAATAAATTGCTGATATGGCTTTGGAGTGAAGGTGGTGGCGAGTAGTGCGGTCGAGTCCTACTGTGATAGCTATTTTTTTTTATATATGACTGCTAAAGCGAATAAGCTCGTAGCTAAGTTATAGGTTTCAGGGTATCCCCTGGTCGGGAACTCCCGACTAGAGCCTCTAACTTGTTTTTTATAATAAGGTATGTAAATGTCAAAAGGAGTCATCTTGTACCTATGATCTGTGCACAAGCTCGATGATCCTATGTATCTGTGCATGAACTCGTCGATCTCAGAGACTATAAGCTATATGAGCGAGAGATCAAGTTTATTTCAAATCTTCAAAAGCTTACTTCGTTTACGCAAAATGAATATATATCGATTTTCAGATTTGGATTTGACAATATCTCTGAGCACTCAAGGTCGGAAGAATACAAATTCAGGATGTATGTTCTCGTAGAGTATACATAGGTCCTCTCAAAATTGAAGGAAAAACTCATTTCCTGACTACAGGGTACATTCTAGTCGGGCACTGCCGACAAGAGCTGTCTTACTCGTATTTATAGTTCATGTTATATGCGACAGTCGGTGCGGTAAAGTTTATCGCTTTATTGCATTTCGCCAATTAAAAATGTTTTGAATTAGTGTACTCAGATGAATATTTTTAAACTGACGCTAGCCTTGAAATTGTAAAATACATGGAATGATGATTTACACATCGGCACAACGTTGACTTTCAATAATATTTCTATGTTGTCAAACGGGTACAGGAAAGCAAGCTATATAATTGCATTCGATTGGTCTAAAAAGATAATGCTAATAGGGAATTAGGTAAAGATGATAAGAACAAATGCAAGGATTATTTTAGAATTAAACATGTACATTTACAAATTGATCGTCTTATTACTGTTTATAAGAAATACTGTTTATAAGAAGATTTTTTTAATATCAATAATAAAGCATTTAGTCGTTATCAATCTTAAAAAAATATCCTTGAATCATTTTCCACGCCCGTCAATATTAGTTTAGAATCATTATTGCATTATTGACATTTATAATCTATAAAGATCTCGACGCTTCCGATAATGAGACGATGAAAAGTGTATTCTCCACTGAACTGTCCATAAACTGTATGAATTATAAATAAACAAACAATTATCGTTGTCTTTGCCAGATGTTTGCTGTAGTCGAAAAGTAAAAAATAAAACTAAAAATGCCAAGATTGCAAATGAACCATTCCATTTGAATTTAAAGTACATGTGGATACTTTTTGAAAGTCAATGGCAGCAGACCTGATTTGTCAATTCAATTCATTAGGTTCAGCTAAATAAACAACAAACCATCAATCTGTAGACTGATTGATTTAAAAAATAATTAGTTGTTGATTCAAAGAATGTTGCTTGACACTTTGGGCTACTTTGAAATTTTTTGTCAAAGTGCCTTAACTGGACTTAAGATACGCGTATACTACAGACCGACGACCTGCTGCGACTAATAACCCAGTCGCAGGGCGTTTAGATAACAGAGCGATATAAATTATGCCACAAGACAGAGCCGATTTGGTTGTCAGACGGCGAAAGGAGCGGGCGGCCTGAGGCGGCAATCAAATGGATGAAGTCACACCAAGTGGTAATAATTTACATTGCGAACTATTGATTTTAAGGTGTGGGCGTGGACGTGGACATGGACTTGGAGGAGGGAGGTGGTAGATAACTTGACACATGTCCGTCAATTTGTGGGACGCCAAGAAGTGTAGAGAACAAAGATAGAGACAGAGCCGACACGGCTGTGGCAAATGCCAAGCGACAAGCAACGAGTTGACAAATACCCTTCGACTTTTTGAGCAATTTATGGGTGGCACTTGGCCCGCTGATTGTAGCCACTGATTGATGACCGCGGGCGTCGCAACATTACCAAGGCCGAAGGGCTTACGCTGCCCCCTGAGCATTGGGTCTGGTTAAGTTTCAGTTTCTGTGCCACGTTTGCAAAGGTCACGCGAGCTGCTTAACTCGCATACAACTACGCACACATAAATATATACATACATGCATACATATTAGCGGACATAGGCTAAAACTAAGCGTGTTCGTACACTGAAACAGTCATCATAGAGCATAGACCCGGCAAGCCAGTTCCTGATTAATGTCTAATCATCCGCTTCTTATTTGCGCTAATGATGATGGGCACAAGATGATTGATTAATTAATTGATCGATTGATTGACTGACTGATTGAATGATTGGTTGATTGATTCTTGGTTGCACTGGTTGTACATCTATGTATGTCCAGTTCGAGCACAATTGAGCTTTCACAATTGCTAGCTTGTGTTATACGCGTAAGAAATGGGGTTTTACCTTTGGCGAGATGGGCGGATAAAACGGTGGCAGTTCATGACAATTTGGACACCAGCTGGCCATGTTAGCTGATTCGGTTTCGGGTTCGTATTTGGTATCTGGTTGAATTTTGATATCTCTTTTGCAATTAGAGCCAAATTAGCAGCCGCAATCGATATGGTTGTGTCCTTTCTCATATTCGCTTCTTGAAGTTGTGTGCGTCAGATATGTAGGAGAGTGTTTTTGTATCTTTGTATAGAGGGGCGGGTTTGGGTTCGCTGCCAGTAATACTACTCACCTAGTACAGGCTATACCACCGAGGCAGGGCTCCAGGGCTGCCAACATTCACACGCTCAAATCGCACATTTATATGTAGTCGATTTGTTTTTTTATTATTATTAATAGAATTGTTATTTTTTTGTTGTTTTGTTTTGTGTTTCTTAATATTATTGTAGCCGTAGAAATATTGTTATTTGCTTTGCTTTAATTTCTATAGCATCACATTCGGATTGTTATATTCTGGGATTCTTTATATACAGTTTTATGTCATTCAATTCATATAAATTAGTTTTGTAATTTCTTGTTTCATTAGAATACCGTTATTAACTTCATTGTGCGTTTATTTGTATTAATTTTGATCTAAGTATTTGCTATGATTAGAATTGTTGTTAAAAACATATTTAATAATTTTGTGTTTCACTTTTCACATATTTTCAAATTTCAACCATATTTCGTAATAACAAAAGGTCTTTAAGACTTTAAGGGCCAGTAAGGATGTTATAATTAAATCAAGATACTGGCAAAAATTATATTGCTGAGTTCTGCACGGCGAATGGCATTCATAATGCTTTTCCTTAACAAATTTCACAGATGGAATTCGCACAGTTGTCTATTTTCCATCACATATTACAGTAACTGGGGGAAAAATGAAAACGCGGCCTGGTAAATAAATAAATAAAGACGCGAAGCAAATTTCAAAGCAAAAGCAGCAGCTGAACGTCGGTTTTTAGGACTTGCTCTCACTAGTTCTTTCTCCCCTATTTCTCTCTCTCTCCCTCTCTCAGTTTTTGCGCATGTACTTTAGATGTAGTCCGAAAGAGTGTAAAGTTTTTTATATCGAGTTGAAGGCACAAATTAATTTATGTTAAGCATACGCCGTGTCTATCACAACTATTAAATTGAATTTATCTATTTTATTTATCTTTACTAGCTTTTAATTTTCATTATTATCCAGCCTGATTTAATTTCCAAACGCTGTTTATGCGACAGAGAGACGCCAGTTAGTATTTGCCTGCAGGGCAACGAACGTACAGAAAAGGAATGTGAACCGTGCGCGTGAAGCGTATGCGAGGCAATGAACGCTTCCAAGAGTTTCTGCAGCCTGTCGTTGAAACGGAAACACACTGCCCTAGTTTTTAGTTGTGCTTCGCAACGCATACATACATACTTTAATGAATACACATGTACATATGTATGCACATACTGACGTACCTGCACGAACAAAACAAGCCGCACAACGCAATTCCATAGAGCATAGTATATAAATATTGTAAAAGCATATTCTTCACAAAACAAAAGCTGTCAAATTTATTTAGTATTTGTATTGTTTATCATGCAAATATGCTGTAATTATGAGCACTGCCAGTGTTGCTACCTTGAGCCGAAATGTAAACAGAATGACAGACTGGCTATAAACGCATCGAACTCGTTTGAAATTTGGTTCAACTTCCTTGTAGGTATCTACCGCACTCATATATACACATATATATATATATATATGTATATATATATATATAAATATATATAGAAAGGTACATGCTCGGGCACTGACTGACTGGCACACATATACCAATAAACGCGCAGAACGGACGCCAACACCAACGAAGACGAGTAGGAAACAACAAAAATAACATTGGCGATGACAACGAAGCGTGGCTAGAACGGGGCCAGAAGCTCATTCGGCAACAGCAATAGCAACAACAACATAGAACGATACTACTGTACCATATCTCCGGCTACCCATCGACTTTATCATCGTGTCCTTTCGTTTGACTTTGTCGTTCTGCTCGTCGTCGTTAAAAACTTTTGTGTGCTCGTTTTGTTCGATTCAACATGAAACTGGCGCACTGTGCGTGTGTCTGTGTATGAGTTTGCGCATGTGTGTGTGTATATATATATATATATATATGTAAACGAATGAATCTTTTAGCAATTCGTATATATAGGCGAGCTCCTTTTAAATAAAAACCCGCAGCAATGCCACAATAAACAGAAAAATTGCCACAATATAAATACTTATTATTTTGAGTGTCCTTAAATCTTTTGAAATTTTTTTTTTATATTCACTACAATCGATATAATCATTTGTATTGTCTATTATTTTGTCGAATTTACTTTCACGTACGGATACACATTTACATGTCTCAGATCCGAGCCATATTAATTGAATTTCCTGTCCAAAAATATGTCACAGAAGAAGTTAAAATGTTTTTTTTTTATCTTTCAAACGGTTTTCACCTACTATCCAGATTATCAACACTTCATCACTTATTCTTATTTGAAATTTCTTGTCAGCTTTAATACTGCTTTAATGTATTGTACGGGATTTTTTTCTTTAATTGGCATACGCAGTATGAAATTTCTTTACTTTCTCAGTATTCGTTTATGGAAAACTGGGTGTGTGTGTGTTGTATATATATATATATATATATGAGGAACTTTTTCATTACTTTTCACACAAGCACACGACGCGCACAGGCCAAGCACCAACCTTTCTCGTCAGCAGCGGATACAATTCTGCGCGCTGCGAACTCGGACGACTCGGGGCTCTGCAGCCCAAGCTCGTCTTTAAGCTTTTTCGGAATGCTCGGGGCCTGGCATGCCAGGTGGAGCTTGCGATTCATTAAAACTGGCGCCAAAATGCACCGACGATGCAAGTGTGTGTGTGTGTGTTCCTGTGACTGTATTTTGGTCGCTTAGCGATCCGCTCACGTGGCGTATAAAAAAAAAGCGTTATATTTCTCTTTGACTTGCTGTGTGCTTGAGTGTAACTGTAGCATATTTCTGGGCTGTGCTTTTTGGTAAATACATATGTATATGAATGAAAAATTTCTTCGCACTTACATTGTTACATTTACATCTTATATATATATATATATTAAAATTTTGTTAAAGTTCTTTAAAGCGAACACGTTAAAGTAAAGTGTTTTAATAACCATGTAACTTCAGGTTTTTAGTGAACCGGTTATCTCTTATTCCCTTTAATCATTGCTAAGTGCCCATTTCAGGAATATAAGAGTTTCGCAATGCTCAAATAATTCCCATTTGTTAAATTTTAAAGTAAGCTGTGTACAAAATATTTTATTGAAGCGTATTCTATGTTGCTGTGAGTGTGTTTTTGTTTTAATTAATAAACAATTGTCTTGAAATACATCGTTTCTTAACTAACTGAGGCGCGAACTAGAAGTAGTAATTGGAGCCCTGAGTTAAATATCGTTATCATCGATAATTCGTATCAAATACCGATAAGCAAAATATTTGAGACGCAATCAGGTTGCTTTGATTTGGTAGTCAGGAATGTGCCCAAATTTGTTGTTATATTAAGCAACATAGAGCACATGAATTTATATAACCAAACACTAGTTACACCATGACAACAGCCGTTCTCGGCGGCGGCATCAGTGGCTTATCCGCCGGTTACTATCTATTGCGAAGGTTCGGAAAACCTTTGACCATTTATGAGGCATCACCGCGCGTCGGTGGCTGGATACGTTCCGAATGGCACAAGGATCGCGGTTTTTTGTTTGAGAGTGGGCCGCGCACGATACGGCCAAAAGGTATAGCGGGTGCCAACACCTTGGAACTGGTGGAGCAACTGAAAGTTCCCATTAAACCAATACGCAGTTCACATGTGGCGGCACGGAACCGCATGCTTTATGCCAAGGGCCAGATCTGTTTGCTGCCAAACAGTCCCAGGGGCCTTATTGGCACTGTTCCCCCCTTTACAAAACCTCTGTATAGAGCTCTTCTCCATGACTTGACCACTGGCAGCACTGTGGCTAAAAACGAAGACGAGTCCATCTATAGCTTTGCCCAAAGGCGATTCGGCAAGGAAATTGCTGACTACGCCATAAGCCCAATGATCTGTGGCATTTGTGCTGGCGACGCGCACGAAATCAGTGTGCGTTTTCTCATGGAGAGTCTCTTCGAGAAAGAGCAAAAATATGGCGGAATAATAAAGGGTATGCTTTACTCGCGGTTCAAAAACGATGTAGACGAGAGCAAAGTAGGTTTGTTTGACCAAGACGAGCCCAAGCTGTACAAGCAAGCTGTCCAAGAGAAGTGGGCCATGTACGGCCTCGCGGATGGCCTGGAACAGCTGCCGCGAGCTTTGCGCAAATATCTGGGTGAGCACGATGTGAACGTCCAGCTAAGTAGCAAGTGCCACAATCTAAGCTTTAACAGCGACGGCGCACGCATTAGTCTACGCGATGCTGACTTGCCGGTGGCTCATGTGGTTAGCTCACTGCCTGCGCACCAATTGGCACCGCTGGTGAGAACACAGCATCCGTCACTGGCCGCCCAACTGCTGGACATAGCCTATGTGGACGTGGTCGTGGTCAACTTGCAATACAACAGTGATCAGCTCTTGAAGCAGGAGGGCTTTGGATTACTGGTGCCGCCCGTGGAAAATCTGGCCGTGCTGGGAGTCATCTTCGATAGCTGCTGCTTCGACATGGCTGGCAACACGATATTAACCGTCATGATGGGCGGCCGCTGGTTCGATAAGTGGTTTGGCCACCAGCCCAGCCAGAAGGAATTGCGCGACATTGCACAGCAGCACGTGCGCCAGATTCTACACATCAAAGAAGAGCCTAACTTTAGCCGCGTACACACGCTTCACAAGTGCATTCCCCAGTACACCGTCGGACATAAGCGACGCGTGGAGAACATAAGGAGCTACATAAAAAACTACAAATTGCCATTGTCCCTATGTGGCGCAGCCTATGATGGTGTTGGCATCAACGACGTCATATTGTCTGCCCGCAATCAGGTAGAGAAGCTGCCGGTGCACCCGCGGCCGCCGCCGCTGGGCTAATCGCATGAACTGAAATTATATATTTCAATTAGTCATTATTTATTCATTTGTATATTTTCTTTTGTAACTATGGTTTGAGTGATTTTCCGTTTGCACATTAAATTCCGTTGGTTTCCCTCCTCGACCGAACCGCCATTTATTTACCAAAACCACCCAGACAAGGTGGACTTTTTTCCGGCTCATGCTCGGGCTCCCATTGCTTTGGTGTTTTCGCCTCAATAGAGAGAGCGTGCATGAATTCAAATCCGGCCGCCTTCAACGCTGTCTTAATTGTGTCGTTTACCAGTCGATGACGCTGCGTGGATACATTTTAGGGGACTCGATATAGGCAGTCGTGTCAGCCGAGGTCTTACCTTAATGAGCGTCAAATCATTGAACTTGTCGGATACGACCAGCACTCTAAAATGCGATTCAGCTTGCTTGGGAGTGTTATGCATGGGCGATTCGTTGGTAACATCCAGGAAAACCGGATTAAGCTCCGCTGTTAGCGCTTTCCTCATTGCCGTTTCTATTGGCGGATACTGAGCCTCCTGCGACATGTTTGTCTCGGGATTCCTATTGACCAATGTGCCGCTTGTGCTTAGTAGTTGGTTTACCTTTTGCGCTGAAATTCGAACGGATTGTCGTAACGTTAAGCCAAACATGTTTCCAATGTTCTTGCACAGCTGTTGCACAATTACATAAACAATTTGTTGTCAGGCCTTTATGAGAGCCGAAATGAACCAGTTCAGTTCGCGATAGGTGCACGTTAATTTGAAATGGGATGAAACCGATAAATTAAAAACTTTTACAAATACAATACTTTCAACATTATTATCAGCTCTTGACATTTTACACAAAAATACAGATTTTGTTAGAATTAAGTATCCAATATGCATTTCGCGCTTTAATTCTTTTGTGCATGTTATTGAATTTGGACAAATTAACTGGCACAATGTTTTCATTAAATATATTCAATAAAATTGTGGTCATATTCAGCAATACGCATACTCCAAATGCCAGTTATTGTGCCGTAACAAATGTAATATTCTTGAACGATGATTTTCTTAGATATACATATTTTGATATTTCAAACTAACATTTCTCCTAGAAATATGTTTAATTGAATTGTCTTATCAAGCAAAAGCATAAACAATTTGCCTGTGCCCATAAATTAACGATGAACGGGCATAACCAATCAATGTGAATATATCGCTGTTTTCTATTGCTTAGTATACGTTGGTTGTGTTAATAGTCAACCAGCTTCTTAAGCTTGGGTGGCGCGGAAATTACCACTCGTCCCCGATTTCCGCCACCCGAGTTGCTGCTATGGTCATGTGCCTCCTCTCGACCACCGTGCGCGCGCTCGTACTGCTGTTGTCTGTACCGCTCTCGCTCACGATTTCTCTCCATGCTTCGCTCCCGTTGACGACGTCGCCGCGATTGGGACTGACTACGCCGACTTCGGGAGCATCTCCGCTCCCGACTGCCGCTTCGTCGTCGACTGTGAGACCTCCGCTTTCGTTCTGTGCGGCTGCTGCTCCTTCTACTTCGAGAACGGGATCGTTGCCTCCTGTTACGGCTTGGACTTCGTGATCTTCGTTTGCGTTGCATGCGACTGCTGCTACGACGACTGTGGGAACGCGATCGGTGCCTTCTGCTTCGACTATGACTACGGGATCTACTGCGACGGGCAGATGATTTGGCCATTCGGGTTGGAGCTTCCGAGTCTACCGATTCAACATCGCTGTCGGAGAGTTTGCCGCTGGACGGCGTTCCATATTTGTGTCGCAACTCACGCCGCCTGTGAATAAAGAGATGTGAGAGGGCTTTCAAAAAGCCACCCACAACTGATTACTCACCTACGGCGGAGCTTGAGCGCGAGCTCGCGCATCTCATCCTCGCGTTCCTGTTGCAATTGACGCTCTCTCTCCGTTTTTTCAATCTCTGCACGCTTATCGGCCTTATCTGAAATATAAATGACTGCTCAGTCCTAGTTTTTTAATTAGCATAGCTTTCGTCTTCGAACTTCACACTACACTCGGCGGCTTACATTGCCTGTTTAGCAGGTTTTGCATCTTGCGCTTAAGCCGCTCTCGAAGATTGGGCCGTCCACTGCCACTCGCCTGCCCAGATCCCTGTAATATTCATCAATAATTATTTAGCATTCTTGGCGCCATTAAGTGCAGATAAGTTGGAGTCAGTTCTGGGTTCAGTCGAAAGTGTCGTTGCGCAAGACTCGGCAACATGAGGGACAAAAGTAAATCAATTTTAAACGAAATTTACATGCTGTTAAACATGTATACATCTAAGGGAAGCCAACTAAGTCACGAAACTCTTCTCTGAATAAGTTAAAAGAAATCGATACTTGCACAATTGCCATATTCGTAAAATATAAAAAAAAAAAAATAAAAAAGATAAATTATCTTTGGTGTGCCTGAGATAAAATACTCTTGCATAAAGATAACTGACAAGCGTTATATTATATACAAAAGCTCTGTTTACAGTCGATGAAACGATATAAATGATATGATAGTGCGGTGTATATAGGATTTTGGTCAGAAGTTGAGTATAATAAAACTGAATATATCTAATTTGGTTATATTCAAAAAAACGAAAAGTGTTTCATATAAGATGTTAATTTTCGACCGATCGTTTAACTATATAAATGATCAGACCGATCCAAAGTATAAATACCCTTAACCCATTTAACATCTTAACAACCTAATGCTAATTTCTTTTGGGTTAAGTTTGCTGACATCTGTTTACACAGCTGGAAATTGACCGATCTGAAATTCGTACATTTGTAGGCCAAAGGGTTGCTACAACGCTAAAAGAGTATAGAGCGTCCACGTCTGGGATGGTCCATTGCTATTTATGATCGTGCCATATGCATATTGGTTTGTGATTGTCTTCGATTTATATTGGTTTTGATTTTTAAGGTAGAGGCGTGAAATTTTGTGGTGTACTCCAGTTATTTGAGGCAATGAGACACTTTGGTTTTGCTTACTGACTTTGGTTTCGGTAGCAGAACTATATTTGCCTGTTTGATTACCCGTGCTGGATGACGACATCAATGGCTGCGAGCGCTCCGAGCTGTAAGGCAAAAGATTGTAATTATCAAAATAGTTTCAAGCTAAAGAGAACGTGAATTGATAATTGAAACCGAATCTGAGGGTTCTTTGGTTGCTCAACTTTACCATACGGCTGCCGTCACTTACGCAGTATCCACATCCAATTCTTCGGAGTCTTCGCGGTCTCTGCCGAGCAGAGATTTGCCTGGCTGTTTGCCCTCGTCTTCCTCGACATCGCTTGGATCACTACTCTCCGCTGACGATGAGGACGTGTCGTTTCCTCGCTTTCGACCATAGTAGCGCTTTAATGGGGGCGGCGGCGGCTCCGTCACTTGGGGCAACACAGGGATCGAGCTGCCCATAGCTGGTACCGTTGTGGTCATGCTGAGGACACGCGAAGACAGCGGATAACTGATCATCGGCACTGCTAAAACTGTTTGATCTGTTGGCTTCGGCTGCAATTGCTGTTGCTGCTGCACCTGCTTGAGTGGCAAGTTCGCCGCTGTCATCAATAATGTGCTCGAAGCCGTTGTGGTTGTTGTTGTGCTAAGGCAAATGGTTTTCTGTGTTGCTGGCGGCGTTGTTAACTTTTTAACATTTGAATGCGTGCGACTCCGCCGACTGGAACGGGAGTGGGATCGAGAGCGTCGCCTTCTTGACATTGTATAGGAGCTAACGCTTGAGCTGCGGGAGGAGTACGGGTATCGTTTGCGCGACCGCTTATAGCTGGGACTACGAGAAGTGTAGCGCTGCCAAGAACTTGACCGCGAACGAGATCGAGAGCGAGATTGGGAACGCGATCTCGAGTAATGCCTGCGACGCCTCCGGCTGCGTGTGCGGCTACGGCGATGATAGCTACGACGTCGACTGCGCCGCCGACTTGGACTGCGGGATGTGCTGCGTGAGCGATGTCGTCCGATGCGATTTGCCGTCTCGTTCATGAGCTTAAGTTGATCCAAATTGTCCTTAACTTTTTGTGCATAGGAAACTGAGGCAGCAATCGCTGCACCGCTGCTGGCGTTAATACAGGACTCGCCAAGAGTCTGACCAGGCTTTGTCAAATTGATAGTGATCTTTGAGTGCGGCTGCATCTCATCCTCACCACCAAATGAGGTAATATAGGTAATCTTTTCGCCGCCACCCTCAGCTGGTGAGGGCGAGCGAGATTCAGAGTCCTCGTCCTTGTCCTTGTTTTTTCCCTGATCCTCCTTGGCCGCATAGCTAGGCGGACTGAACGGTCGATTTGCAATACGCCGCTCTTTTTGTGCACGACGTTCCCGACGCGATTTGCGTCCGCTTAGTAGCATCTTTTCCTGCTCCTCTTCGCGTGCAATACGTAGCGCATCCGCTTCGTCCGCATCCTTTGTGAGATGCGAGAAGAAGTCGTTACTTTTCATGCCATAATTTCGACCACAGGCATTAAGTTCGTGTGCCTGAGCAGTGTCCAATTTGCCAATGTCTATGGACACATCCATATCCATATCTGAATCTGATTCATCTGAGTTTTCGGCTTTATCACCGGCCGCGGCCGCTGCGCTGCTTGTTGCTGGCGCAGTTCCAAAGGGCTGCGGACCGATTGCCACAGAGGGCGCTTCTCCATCATCGTAGGAATATCCTATGGTAGCTCCACCGCCGCTATTCTTTTGCTTCTTCTTTCCTAAATTGCGCTCCGCCTCTAGCTGAGCATTGGCTCCGAACTGCTCCTCCAGATACAGCTGATGCAGAAACTTGTCCTCACTCACATTAAGAAAATCATTTTGCGCCAATATACGATAACGCTCGTAGTTCAACTGCCGCTCTTCGACCGTTAGATCCGATTCCCCTTCCGCCTCATTAGTATTTTTTGCCACGGGCGCAATGTAGTCCAAATGTGCGCGCACATCGAAGCGATCGATAAGGTTGTCCTGGTGTCCCTGCCAAGGAACACTGCAAGGGTACAAAAACCAAATTAGATTTCGCAGAAAGATTGGCATTTAGATATATTTATGGGAGATAATCTGTATTCAATATCACTTGCATGATTGCGTCGCCATCACCGGCGGCCGCTACAGCTGGGTCCAAATAAATTTTGCTCCGTCTGCCGTGCAATTGCAGAAACTGTGTGGGATCCGCTTGAATCTTATCATAAAAGTATTGTCTGCGCTCAGCACGCTTGCGATAGTCCACGATAAGGCCGCGTATCCGGCGTTCCTGTTTTCGAGCCTCGTGCCACATAATTTTCCATCAATTGAGTTTAACGACGACAAATTTTTCACAGAGTTCTCGCACGCTCGGCCGGCATAAATCGTCTATTTTTAATGAATCGTTTCCACTGCTTCTCTGCGACTACGAAAGTGTTGCGAAACGTGTGAAACGAACGACGCCCTGAACTGGAACTTGTTCCGTGCAGCTCAGCTTGGCTTGCAAATCTAATGGCGGGGTTCAAACTAATTGGGGTTAATTAAAATTGGATGGGGTTGCAAAAGATATAATAAAATATCAGGCTATACTTAGTCTGTCATCTGGGCGGTTCACGTCGCCGGCAGCCGGATGAGTTCTGTAACTACGCATGCGCTTGTTTTGGGGTTGGGGTGGAAACGGAAATAAAAGAAGGATAATAAATAACAGGCAAAACTGGAATGAGCCACAACACAACAATTGTCAGTCACTGCTGCCGCCGCCGCCGCCTTGTGCTACAGCATTTTGCGGCATCGATTTTAAGGTCACATTCAGATCCCTAGCTAAAGATTAACAACAGTAGAACTAGCACAACCAGTTTGCGGATCTCGTTTATCGTCTAATGTCTGCTAGACGTTACTATTTCGGAGCAGAGAAACGTTACAATACCTCCGGAGAAGACAAGGTTTGTCAAGATGAGGGGCCTTTGTACCCTCGCGACGGCAACAACAACAATGACAATGACGATGCGAACAATGAGCCAGAGCCCGACGCCGACAAGGACGACGACTCTGAGTTTTTGCAAGATGTGCCATACTCGTCTAGCAGCATCGACCGCAGCTCAATTGGCTCCATACCCTGGGCAGATGATGCCATCAAAAAGAACAAACTGGATTGGGAGCGCGTTGACCGCATGATAAGCGGCGAAGAAGCGCTATCGGAGCTGGAGCCAGAGCTGCGACACGAAATCGCTGACTGGCAACACAAATTCCCCAGTTTATTAGCCCGCAAAGCGAAGCCACTCAAACCGCAAAGTTTTGACAGCAGTCGTAACACAACAGGACGGAATGAAGTGCCAGACGAATCTGGGGACATAGACTCTATATCAGATCTTAGCCTAAACTCTCTAGATGATTATGACGAAAGGGATGAGGACGACGATGGCTTTCTCACCCCAACTGTCGCGCGTCAACGCGAGCACGAGCATCTTTTACCATCTGATCGAAATTATTTGCGTCCTGCCCAAAACCTTGTGACTATACTAGACAGAGATCTACACATTACGTCGGTTGCGCTCAAGCTGCGTAGGCGTGAGCACACCCAGCAACCGCAAGCACCAATCACGCCGCAGTCGGCTACAGTGACACACTCACGTCTGCGAATGCCACCTATTCTCAACGTACTGGACTCGAATCGACGTTTTCGCGGGCTCCTCAACAACCGTAGCTTTGTGCAACTGACGCAGGTGCAGCAGCAACCAAAATCAGCGGCATTGACATATGCCAGCAGCGCGGAGAGACGGCACCAGGCAGGAGTTAGATCGGCCTGGAACATGCCCATGGCTGCCAGCCGATTCCTAAACAACAAGCATGCAATTGTGTTGCCTTCACTGAACCGTCACAGAGACTTCAGCACGACTGCCACCACATCTGGCCAAAGCAATTCCAGTGGGAGTGGCGCACACAGCAACAATATAGTCACTCTTGGCGCAATTCCTCACGGGAAGGGAAGAGATTACAATGTCCAGCATTCGCATCAGAATGGCCTGCCTCAAGACCAAGTCACAACAAATTCAACTACCCCTTCAACGGGTCGATCTATCTCAGCAGCAATTCATCATCCACGGTCGCAGTTTGCCACCAGTAGTGCCTTTTACATACCGTACAGTGCCTCAAAATTTAAAGCGTTTAAGTAGCCAAAATCTCGTTGTATACAACTAGCAATAAATTTTGAATGCGATGACAAGTGCTTTATTTGAAAGTGCCCGACTAGGAAATACTCTTTATAACATATATTCGTACTAAATTATGCATATATGCATAAGATTTTGCATTGTTGGGTGGAGCCAGCTGAGGCGACATTCTTTTGTGTATGCGCGACTGTTGATGCTATTCGAGAATATATTTTTATGAGCTCGTATTTGCCCACTTCCGTCTTCCACACACATTTGCTATACACCCTTTTTATTTCTTTTTTTTCAATAATCATTCACAAACTACTTTTAATGGTATGTTTATCAAATTCCATCTTATATTTTCTTAACAATATAATCTTAATAATCACTGTAGACATATCCTTAATATTGGTTATTATATAATAACTCCTAAAGACTGGTCCTAGTCGACTACAAAAACGTGTACAAACTATACTCAGAGAACACATGCCACACGTTTCAATCTTCAAGACACATGGTTCAGTAAGACACCTTATGCGTATTTCTTCATCTGCTTACGTATCGCAGTTATAGTCACAAATAAAACTCAAGATTACAGACTCATGTTGTCTAGACGTAGACGCCCATCGTTTTCTGTAAGGTATAGGGTATCTGCTAAACATTGCTCTGTGATCAATTCTTCCACACGATCATTCATCTAGTTTAGAAAAGGTATAGAGAAATAAGCCAGCGTTTACAATACGAGATCGACCTACTTACGCCTTTTGCCTTGCGCTCGCTCAACACCTCGGGATATTTAAAGGCTGGTCCAAAATTCACACTGACTGTAGAGCTCTTGTGTATCGAAATGGCCGGAAAATAGCTGCCCCCATAAATGTCCTCGAACGCAACTCCCTGGGACTGGCCATTCTTGAAGAATTCGATTCGACTGCCTTGCAGGATGTGCAGATTCTTAAGTGTTTCCGTTATTTTGTCTTTATCTTCGTAATACAAATGTGATTTAAATTTAACAAGCGGCTGATGGAAAATAAGCAATAAAGTAAATGGGAAAGTTTGCAGTAAATTCCAATATTAACTTACGCGGTCCTTAAATGTGTTGGGCAGGTAGTCCATTGTAGGCAATTCGGGAAGGTCAATGAGCAACCCAAGCGTGTCTCCCTCACCATACGCTTCACTATAGTGCTTGCCGTGGCTCTCAGTGAACTTTGTGCCCTTGCGCGAGCGCCAGGAATAGCCAAATTTGTCATATCCTAACGGCGCCTGTAGGTTACCATATTCTCGTCCCCAGCCAACGCGAGTTGCTGCACCCTCCGGCATTTCCTCAATGGTTATCTCATAATACCAGCAACCACGGTTCACAGCTACAAAAAAAGAGCATATTTGGATAAAACCACCATTTGAATTCATTGCTTTAGCTACTTACAGTGTGTAGCGCGAACTTGAGAATATCCCCGCTCCCCAGTCACCGCCAGTCGATCCTCGCTGATTTTTAATTGTGGTGCTCGATCGTGCAGAGCCAGTAGCACTGCATGTGGTACTAGTGTGCGATATAGCCAGCCAGGTATGGGCTTCCCCGCCCAGTCGGAGCTCTCATCGAATTCCTGGCGGAAAGGCGCGTGCGGATCCGGCTCGGCAAGTATGTAACGATATCCATCCTTATTAAATGGATGCTCCAGCGGGTAGCCGTGCGGAGGAAGTTTCACATTGGCTGTGACATCAGAGCTAGGACGTCCCTTCTTGCCCGTTGGGCCCGCATCAGTGCCAGGAAACTTTCGTTTCTGCCTGTTGTTCTTAGCGAGCGTAGCTGCAATGTGCAAAATGCTATAAGTAGCTATACTTGCGGCATGGAATGCCAAAGCCTATTTAATCTGCGAGATGTGAATGACTAAATAGTTACTGCGGGTGTCCCGCACTTACAATCTTCTTCGCTGCTTGCAAGCGACGCTATGCTCAGCGTTGACGTCATCGCAAGGACAATATGTATGTGTCGACTTTAATTACGACGCTTTTTGAATCAATTGTCCAGCGAATGACAGCACACGAACTCCTAACGAGCCAAAAGCAACAATATGTAACACAATTATTTGTTATTTTAATGAAATTGGGTTCAGCTCGTAACCGCTAACGTGCCCCACCCACCCTGCGCTAACAATCTTTGTGTGTGTCAGTTGTGTTTATTTATTTGTTTGTTTGCTTGATTGTTTACTTATTTATGGATGTGTGACGAGAACACGAAATCAAAAATAAGAAACTACCGCAAAACGTAATTACGATCAGCTTTTGCTTCAACTGTCTGAATTGCAAAAAGTGGCGAGAGCGAAAAAAGTGAGTGAGCGAACGAAAAAATAACCATGACCATACGATATGAGCGCGCGTTCCACGGTGCTACAGTTCGAACCGTAGTTTCTTCAATTCATATTAGTAAAATAGCAAAAACAAGAAGATAGAGCTGCAGCGCAACTGCAAAATTGAAAAATAATTTGATTTGCTTTGCAACCATCTGCCCACTTTGCCGATTTTCATTTGAATTTGTCGGCGCTCTTTGCGAACGTGTCTGAATTAATGTGGAAAAAGAGAGCAGACGCACAATTCGTTTATTTTGTTTGGAAGGGCATGCAAAGCAGAACGCGATAAAGATAATTGTCATTGTATTAGCCTTAGTTCGCGTCAGCTTTTGCAGCTCTAGCCACACTGTGCACGCTCAGCTGTAACGAATAGTAGGCAAAACAAAAATGAGTGCTAAGCATATTCGCATAACACCGAATCATAGACTCTCTTTAACAGCTCAACAGGAAGAAAAGAAAGATCGTCAAAGACAAAAAGAGATTATGTTTTGTTTCGATAATATCATCTCACCTTGCATATAACCATCCTCGGTAAGACGTAGGGCGCCAGTCTTGCTCATAATCTCGTAGTTGGGTTTAATTAAACGCAAATCCTGATGAAAAAGTCCATACATGGCACCCTGTTCAACATGCTCTTCGTAGACGAACAATGTATTAACATCTTTCACAAGGGAACGCTGCACGGTAGAGTACCAAGACTGCGTCAGACGACGCGGCATCGTTGTCATGGCTTCCCAGAATTGTTCAATATAGGGTATAATCTCCTTATCTTTGCTAAACTGTATTTGATTCTTGCCTTCGCGAAGCGCCGCCTGCTGCATGTTGGCAATAGCACACTGGCACATCTGAGATATTGCTATTAAGTAGATACAGAGAGTTAAAATTGTCAATGCGATTGTTTTTTGCTGCTATACTTACTAGCTTGGCTTTTGCGAAAGCTTTCCAGGCCCGTGGCAGAACAATTTTTGCACACAAATATATAATTTGTGATAAACGGCAACAGCTTCCCCTTGCCCAACTGGTAAGTAATGCAGGACTCATGAATCCATCGCGAGCATGTCGCACACAGTAATTCAATCACGTTAAGGTTTCGTTCCTTGCCACTAGATATGCAGAAGGTAAACAAATCTGAGTGTACTTATCAAACAAAATGCCTTGTACATGTGCCTACCAATAACAAACGCCGGCTGTAGCCTGCCTGTCCCCGCCTTCCACACCAGCAACTCTAACTGAGCTACGATGCTCTTGCAACTGCATTTTCTCATCCTCCATATTAAAGTTGAGCTCTGGGTTCGCCTCAGTAGGTGAGCTGGTCTCCATTATGCACTCGTCCATTATAAGTTATAAATTCTTGATGGAGTTTTATTCACAAAATATGTAAACAAATAAATGCCGCTTCGGGAATAAATTGCTAAGCGACGGTGATTTATCGAAATTCCTCGAGGGAACAAAGTGAAAAGCAAAGTGTGGGCACCCAACACTGGCTATAATGTTATTAACAGCGAGCACTTATTTGTTCCAGTAAACCAGACATTTCGTTTGTCAGTTTGTCAAAAAATTTACTTTGATTTGTTTGTATTTAAAGTGAATTTCTTAACAGTGGTGAGAGTTTTTTTTAGAAAAAAAGGGTTTCATATTAAAGATCGTCGAGTCGGGATGATACTTTAATTGAATTTAACAGCCGTTGACTGTATGCGCTACAGAGTCACAAGAGAACAGCTGTTGGTTAACATTATTCATATTTTTTCTCTGAATATGAATTAAATTAATTAGTTTGTTCTGGAGAGATAATGTCGACACCAAATTAAATTACCAAAGCTGCTACGATTTTTTAGAAGTTCATTTTGTATATTGTATCGCATGCCACACACAAATACAGGGTTGTTTTGGCAAACCCATCGGTCGGCCACCACACACTATGGTTTTCTATCGCTCGTCTAGTAGCGATGTTTCTTATCGACAGAAAATATATCTAGAAAATATATCAATTCATAAAAATTTACTAGAATTTAAGAGTACTTTTGGATGCAATGTTAGACAAGTGCGTGTTGTGTGCATGAGATTGAGTGGCATTGAGTGCGCAATATAAATGGAATTGCATGGACGCTACAAAGGACTAAAGAGATTGACTAAAATCCCACCAACAACTTGCACTTTGCGACAACGGCGAACGCTGGCTGAGGCGAAGGAGGCAACGGCAACGGCAAAGCAAACGGATCTTAAGAAGTAGAAACAGCAGCAGCCACGGCTTTCGGTGGAGCCACACAAGAGCAATGTGCGAGGTTTGCGCCGATTTCCAAAATTTATTGGAGCTGTGTAAGTAGCGAAAATATATGCTTGTAATGTGTCGGCATTTATACAGTGACAACTGTCTAAACTTGCACCCACTTTTCCCCTCCCCCTTCACGAACATATACTTTACTTTTCAGATGAGGTTCGCGTGGCCAGTTCGGAGCTTAAGTTTCAGCTGCTGCTCAAGAGCGAAATTGAGACGACTTTCAATTATATCCAATCGTGGCCACAGCGTCAGTGCATGTGTTTGTACCGGGATAACAAGAACTATGATCGCTTTAATCTAGTGGTGCAATCGCTCATTTGTCTTACGGTGCAACACTTGAAGCACATTGATCATCTAATCGACAGTTACAAACGGCTAACGGCTAGTGCTGCGCAAGTTGTCGCACAGGCGCAGAGAAAACCCACACCCGAAAAGCCCGACAAGGACTCAAACAACGACAATGACAACGAGAGCAACAGCAAGCACAAGGAGTCAACGTCCTCGTCGTCGTGTTCGCCACCATCTGCTGGTGACGACAGTAAATCAACCCTTCCTGAGGCCAGCGGTGATGAGGAGAAAAAGGCTTCCGGTGACGGTCCAGGTCCACCCAAGAAACCGCCATCACCACCGCCACTTCAAGTCCCACCAACGAGCAGTAAGGCACATCCACAATACACGGAAGAGCCATGGATACTGCCTGAGGTGGAGAAATTGCTGGTACTCGTATCCAAGGTATTTCTGCTCAACTTTCCGCTGTACATTGCCCATAAGCACGGCATGCACTCACGTCTGGACGATCTGCAAGCGGAGGAAGCGCACCACCTGGCTCTAATCTGTGATCTACACGACAACGATCTTCCCATTTACCTGCTGCGCAACGTGAGCCTGTTCTGCAATTCTGGAGGCTTTGGCGCTATGTCGCTGTGCTTTGAACACCCGGACTTGCCCGTATCCACAGCTCACTCCATGACTGCCACAGTGTCTAATGTGAAGCTATGGCTCAACTATCACTGCAACACACAACTGTTCGTGCCACTGCGCAGCCGCATTCTGCAATACATGTGCAAGCTCTCCGATCAAAATCTTCGCTCGGCGGCAACGCGTGCCATGGCTGACTTTGTGTGGTCCTCCATGCGTGATCCGCTGGACGTGGCCGTCAACTTTGATACCGAAGGCCTAGCTCTGGCCTTTAAGTACTTTACATCAACTACTCTGACGATGCGTTTGGCCGGTAAGTGGTTAATCAAGTTTTTGATGCGGGTCCCATAAAAGAAGAATTTAAAATAAGGTGATATACGGCTCTTTGTTTAAATAGTTAAACACCGATTGCGTAAAGTAATCCAAACCTTAGTATATGTAGAGGAGTATCTTAAGATATTTTAAATTCTTAGTTATATAATATGCTCAAAATTTAAATTCTTAATATAGGCAAAATATGCTCAAAATATTATGAATTTATATTCTTTAGACCAATTTAATATAAAACAAGTAAGAGGTTCTAGTCGGGAGCTCCCGACTAGGGGATACCCTGAACCCTCTTCTTCCGATAGTCGACAGGTATAAAATGAAAAATACTATATATATATATACTATTCTAGAAGCTACATGTCAAGTTTGGTAACTCTAGCTCATATTATTTGCCGAAATTGCTCAAAAAACAGGATTTTGATATCGATTTTTGGAAACGGGGCAAGTTATCGATTCAGTCTCTAGCTCTTATAGTTTCTGAGATCCTTGCGTTCATACATACGGACGGACGGACAGACAGACAGACGGACATGGCTAGATCGACTCGACTATTGACGCTGATCAAGAAAATATATACTTTATGGGGTCGGAGCACAAATACAATATACCCTGTTTACCCATTTTTAATGGATCCAGGGTATACAAAGTGAAAAACAGCTCCTTAGAATGATCATTTTGATTTGAACACTAAGATGATAACAGATCCAGACACTAACAAATAATATTGTTACCAAAAAAATAATCGTAAGGTTAAGATTATAAGAAATAAGAATTAAGAAATAAGTAAAATTAAGAAATCAAATTTAATATTTATTGCCCTTTTCTATATTAAAGAGTCCTACAAATGCTTTTATGAGCTGTCTGTACAGCAATGTTAGTAGTTTGCGAGTTTAGTGACATTTTATAAACATAACATTAAGTATTATTATATGCGCGCCATTATAATTTCCAGCAAATTTATTTTAGGTATGGCGCAGATCAATGCTCACATAAATCTGTTCAACGAGATTTGCACCACTGAAACTGTCAATGAGGTGGAGCTTTTTGGCCAGCGCATAGCCAACTGGCTAACAGAGAATCAAATTGTTCAGCATCTGTTTGGTCCGAATCTGCACGTTGAGATTGTAAAGCAAGCCCATGTACTTCTTAACTTCTTGGCCGTGGAGAATCAGATCTCCGAGGAGGACATCAAACTCATCTGGCAGGCGACGCAACTGAAGCACTGCTCCAAAACTATATTTGATATATTGCCGGCGCTGGTAAAGAATCTGGCACCACGTCCGGCTATGCATCTTTATTCGCTGCTATGCCGTATGGATCCAAAGGAGCACACCGAGCAAAGTATTTACATTGCATCCGCTTTGACCAAGTTGATTTGGACGCGCGATTGTACGCGCAGTCAAATGAATTTAATGCAAGACCATTTGCTTGGCTCCAATGTGACAGCCTCCAGCTCGGACAGCGGTAGCATTGAAGGCAGCAACACTGAGGATGATCATGTGGGCGCTGATGATAGCAGCATCGCTAGTGGCGGTGGTGGTGGCCACAAAAGCCCTGTCGATGGCGTAACACCTTGTAAACAAGCAAGACACAGGCGTCATATTTGCGATCCCACCACTGAGAAGGCCAAGCAAATGAGCGGCGATGACATAGCCAAGGTGGACATTAAGTAAGTCAATAAATATCCAATGCATTTTATTTGATTAAATGGGTCCTTCTTGCGGCAGAAACCATCGCATTGTCAACATCATCGACAACACCAGCAGTGAAGAGGAACTACAATCACGAGCTGCTTTGGAGCTTCAGTTACATCGCAAAAAGTCAAGCAACAAGCGACGCCGTCCGAAAACTAGCAACAAGCAACAGCAGCCGCTCCTACCGCATGAGCTGGTCGAAATATGGGACGGTGCTGAGGACGTGCCCAGTAGCGATGATGGCGATGCTGATGGCGACGGCGAACTTCTCGCCGACAGTGATGAGTGCAGTGATAGTGCCGCCCATCAACTGGTGCCCGCTGCCGTACTTAAGCATTTGCACGGCGAAGGTCCATATATACGCGCCATTGCCGAGACGAACATCAGCGAACTTCTAAGCGGTGCAGAGAATGATGGCAGCTATTCGTCACCCATGAGCAATAAATCAGAGAAGAATCTCGCTGACTTTGACGACGAGGACGTTTCACCGTGTGAGGAAGAGTTGGCACAACTTGTAAATTCGCATGGAGCACGTGTGACCGCCCCGAATTGTAGAGATGTGGCTCCTGCTTTCGCAGCTGCTGCCGCTGCTTTGATGGCCGCTCAATCAGCAATGGCTATGCAAAAGTCTGGTGAAACAAATGTAGCCGCCGCTGCTGCTGCAGTTGCGGCGGCCGCTGTTGCCACTGGAAATGCGCAACAGTCATTAGTAGCCATGCGGCAACAGGCCAATGCAGCTGCCGCTGTTGCTGCTGCGGCCGCTGTTAAGTCCAAGTCCGACTCAGATGTGGATCTGGTAGACGTGGGAAACAAACAACAGCACTCGCCCAGGGCCAGCAATGCCGGAGCAAGCAACAACCAGCCTTCCTTTAAGCTAAACGATGTCTGCCAGCCGGGCAACACGCTACTCTGGGATCTGCTTCAGGACGACAAAATTGTAAGTGCCATCCATGCAAAGCGACCCCGCTTCTAAAGATCGAAATATATTTATTTAAAAACGTGTCTGATAGCTTTTCCAAACATTTCAAAATGAAGATAGAACGGTTAAAAGGCTCAATTATGCAAGAATTTAATTTTCGATCGAATATTTAAATTAATCGTCCGGCCGATTTTGACACATGTGCTAAATGCAGCAATATGACGAACCAATAGCGATTTTCATTAAAATTGCTCTAAAACTTAAAGACTAGTTTGCATAGAAACAGACAAACGGACATGTCCACATAGACTCGAATGTTGCTACTGATCAATAATATATGTAACTTATGGGGTTTCCTTCTTTGCGTAACACATACATTGACAAAATTAATAATTATAATAATGAAGGAATTGCGAGGCTTAAGTATATCTTTATGTTAACAGTTAACATCAGAAAAATACTATTGAATATTAATGAGAATTTTAAAATCAGATCCTAAGTAACAAGTATGGGAAGGAGATTTATCTTAGTTTAGGTTGCTGACCAACATTTAAACATGGAGCAATATTTATATTCATTGCCTGCTTCGTGCTCTCATTGGTTTTTTCGTCTTTTCCTAGGGACAACTTGGCGAATCTTTAGCCTTAGAGGCTGAGAAGGCGCTAGCAACACTACTATGCTTCAGCATGGACCGCCAACTGCGCACAAAATTCATTGAAGGCTGTCTCCATAACGTGGCCAACAATCGAAGTGTGATCGTCAGCTTGCGACTTTTGCCAAAGCTTTTTGCCTCATTTCAGCAGTTCCGACCATCGGACACACATACAATGACATTGTGGGCTGATCGTAATCATCGCATGATGCAGTCCTTCTTCAATAACATCCGGCACTATGCCAGGAGGCATGCAGAGCTGTTAATCAACCAAAATGGCGAGCAGCAACAGCAACAACTGGGCCTTCAGCTATACTCGCACAAGACGCAGGTTTCTGTGCGGCTGCAGTTTCTCTCGTCTATCTTCTCTTCGGTGGGCTCGCCCAAGACCTTTCGGCTGACGCTGGAGCAGCTGGATGCGCTGTGGGAGTGGCTCGCGCATGATCCCGAGTGTTCAGATTGCTATTTTTCGTGGCTTCAGGCGCAAACGAAGGGTGGTGATCAGCACGCGCTGGGTATCGACGCACTACAGCACCTATACTTGAAAAAATTGCCAGAGCTGCGTCCAGAAGAATTTTCTATGGTGGCACTAGGACTTTTCCAGCAATTGTGCAGCTTCGCGCGGATCGCGATGGCCGAGTATGAAAAGCACAGTGAGGCCATTACTGCCAACTCCAGCGCCGTGGGAATGTACCACCTATGGAAGATTGCATTGCGTGCCCAAAGCAACGAGGTCTCGCTGGCTGCAATCCAATACATCAACATGTATTACATGGGCCAACAGTTGCGCCTGGAAAGGGAGTTTGTGTCGCAGTGCATGGACAATCTCGTACAAGCGGCTACGGCGCTGGAATGGTAAGTTAACCCAAGTATATACATCTAGTGCAGTTTACTGTATAGGCGCCTGAACATCATTATAATGAATTCTCAAAGTTTATGACGATTTGAGTGTGGTTAGAAATGGTTCAATAACGAATTCTCACAAAATAAATCAAGATTTAATTCCCTTGTAGACATTTCCCTTTTGCAGCTACTTGAGAATAGTGCAGCTCGAAAAGGCCGAGTTTGTTAGAAAATCTTTGAAAACATATTATTTTGCATATCAGAACCAACTTTTCGACCGATCGTTTCTATGGCAGTTATATAATATAGTGGTCCGATGTTGACAAGATTTTGCATAAATTTAGGGGTACATTAAAACTTATAAATGCCGAATCTGTGTAAGATAGCTTAATAAAAAAAAAAGTTTTTCATATCAAAACCTTCTTATATCTTATATCTTCCTTATCCTTATATCTTTTTGGAAGTTTTGGCCATAAACGTTCAGGGTATAACAAAAATGGTGCTACTACATTTTTTAGCCCAGGGTACATCCATATAGTGAATACAACATTTTTGAAAACGGTTTTCTTTAAACAGAGTAGAGGTTTTGAAATTGAGCACAGTCTTTTGCACATACAATCTTTACCCTCCTTTCAATAGGGTTGGATTTTTAAAAAAGTATCAAATGAGTTTTACCCCATTTCCAGGTGGAATTTCCATTTCCAAAAGATCGATAAAAATTCATTTTAGGCCGCCCTTTTTAAGCACAACTTACAATCTACACAAAACAAGATACACCAAATTTAGTACCCCACAAATTTCCACAAATATTTTGCGTAAATACATCTTTTAGTACCTGCATAATCATTTTGGAATTCATGTTAGGCTTAAATAATTTGAAGAATTTGTCAAAGCGTGATTTTATAAACTAAAATATTATATTGTCTGCGGGGTACAGGGGATTGTGTAGCGAGCTTAGTCGACTACAGCGTACTTTCTATAATAATTTTATTTTTTCTTGGTAGTATGTATGTTAATTAATAACTGTTTACTTGTACTGTTTTCCCTCTATTCATAGCATTGAGGACGAGAACGCGTTGATGCGAGTGCAGCGCGGGTTGTTGTTGCTTAACACTCATCTGGACACTTTCAGGCGACGGTATGCTTTTCATTTGCGCCGCTGGGCCATCGAGGGCAAAGGGATTGGCTCGCACAGCAATTTGAAAAACGAGGGCGCCGGCCCACCACTGCGGATTGTGCTACAGCAGGCGGGCTTATCTGAAAAAAGTCTGCTGCATATGCATGCCTGCGATCTCATCGCTGATCTTAAAGCTGAGGTTTCTAAGTGGTGGGAGAGCCTGCAGTCGGGCATCGCGGCGCCCGTTTTGGGCCTGCTGTTAAGCGATGGTCCTCTGAGGATTATTACACAGGGGCAGGAGCTTACATCGGATTATGACGAACGAACTCTGGGTGACGCTGGTTTCAAAGACAATCAGATTGTGTATGTTTCATTGGGTGGACGCGGTGCTCGGCGCAAGGAAACGAACGTAGAGCATCCATCAATGTTACCGCCACCACCCAAGGAGTGCCTGCCCACAGTACTCCTCCTACAGCCCAAGTACTTTGAGAAACTGTTCTGTTTGATGCAAACGCTAGGAGACATGAAGCCGCAATCTTCAACGGTGCATCTGCAGCATCACACAAAGGCGCAGCTGTTGTCGCGCCGAGTGTGGGATATTTTGGCCATGTTGCCCACCAACCCGCATATACTAGATGCTTTCAAGAATCTGGTTAACGATCTCAATGAACTGCAGCAACTGGACGATCAGGAGCAGCTGGCCAACAAGCGCAAACAAATTAAGCAAAAGTTTAACGAGTTGCTTGATCCTAGCAATCTTCAAAAGTTCATGTACTCTTTGCACATCGTCGAGAGCCTGGCGTTAAGTAGCGGCCCGCGTCAAACTGGTGCTTCCTGTGGTCCTGGTGGGGCTGGCGCCAATGGTAATCTGGCTACTAGTGAGCAGCCTCGCATCAAAAAGAGCGCAAACAGACGACATAACAGCAACGAACAACCGGCGGAGCCGAAACGCAGCAGTAGCAGCAGTGACTGCAGCAAAGAGCAGATGGGAGGCGACTTGGACGCCACGGTGACATCAGCCCCACGCTCTGGCAGCGACGCAGATATTACCGAGTTGGTCAGCGGCGACAAGGAAAACCAGCCGAAACAGCACAGTAAACGGCAGAAAAAGATCGATGGCCTTGACCAGGAGCGTCCATTGGGCTGTGCCACACCGCCGCCACCTTCGCCTGCATCCACATTACCAGCAACACCAGGGCGCAGTGCGCTGCTTGGCGAGAGTAGCAAGTGGAGCGAAGCATTTATCAAGTGCGCCGGGCTGCAGCATCTGTACGAAATCTTTAGTGCAGGACAACTGCAGCAAAGCGCGCATGCCAAAGAGCTTGCGCTAAACGAATGGCGTCATGATTGCTTGGCCAGCCTATTGCGCATCCTTTGGTTGTTGGGCTTCGAGGAGCTACAGACACAGGATGTGCACGTGCTGATGTCGCGACCACATGCATTCATGCTGCAGCTAATGGAAGTGCCCCAGTGCCTACAGCGCCTGTCCAGCATACTTAACGATGAAGTCCATCAACATTTGTCAGCCGGCGCCACTTCGCTGGTATTCCCATATCAGTTTCATCAACTGCGGACTGGTTTCTGGGGACGTGCACAGCTTGTTCAGTTTACTATGAACATTCTGGTGAGTTTCGTGCATGCTTCAGCAGAGGCGCGTAGCTTACTCTGGTCTCAGCCGGAACAATGTAATTGGCTGCAGAAGTTCATACTGGAAGACCCGGAGCCGGCGGTGCGTCGCGAAATTTGTGCCGGTCTCTATCGCATCTGTTTGGGCAATGCGCAAAGTTACCGCCTGCTGTTGGCTCCTCTGCTACACAAACTTATTGCATTGCTGCCGCGTGCCGAGCAAATGAGCTCTTCAGTGCAGCACACCCAGTTCTTGCTTTCTGAAGAGGGCAAGGAGCCATATGGACCAGCTTGTCGGGATTATTTTTGGCTACTGGCGCGTCTTGTTGACACTTTGACGCCCGAAATGGTAGCCGAGGAGCGTATCGATATTGAGTTGCTATGCGAGAGCGTTTCGGAGAGCATTCTCAGCCGAGACTACCACGAACTGCGCCATGGCTATCAGGATGATGGATTGGTGGGCTTACTCAATCTCATGTCCAATCTAATTAAGTACGACACTAGCTACAAGTACAGACCCAAGGCATTAAGCTTCATTGAGCAGCTAATCGAGTTCCTGTTCGAAATGCCCTCTCCAGCCAATCGCCAAAAACCCAAATGCAAATCAGCCACCTCCCGAGCCGCTGCCTATGATCTGCTGGTGGAGCTGTGCCGCGGCTGCGCCACCAACTATAGCTATCTGCACGCTCGGCTGTTGGCGCAGCACAGGTCCGGTCCGAAGCAGCCATATCCTTGGGACTATTGGCCACGTGACGAGGGACGTGCCGAGTGTGGCTATGTGGGCCTCACGAATTTGGGAGCTACCTGTTACATGGCATCCTGCATACAACATCTATACATGATGCCACAGGCCCGAGCAGCTATTTTGCGACTACCGCCAGCTGGCACCCAAAAACATGCACCGACGCTGCTGGAACTGCAGCGCATGTTCGCATATCTGCTAGAGTCTGAGCGCAAAGCTTATAATCCGCGCAGCTTCTGTCGCGTGTATCAGATGGATCATCAGCCCCTCAATACGGGCGAGCAGAAGGACATGGCTGAGTTCTTCATTGATCTGGTGTCTAAGCTAGAGGAAATGACGCCAGATCTAAAGCATTTGGTAAAGCGTTTGTTTTGCGGCACTTTAAGCAACAATGTTGTTTCTCTTGACTGCGGACATGTCTCACGCACCGCTGAGGAGTTTTATACAGTCCGGTGCCAAGTGGCGGACATGCGAAATTTGCAAGAGTCGCTCGATGAGGTCACTGTCAAGGACACGCTTGAAGGGGACAACATGTACACATGCTCACAGTGTGGTAAGAAAGTGCGAGCTGAAAAGCGTGCCTGCTTCAAGAAACTGCCTCAGATCCTGTGCTTCAACACCATGCGGTACACCTTCAATATGGTGACCATGCTGAAGGAGAAGGTCAACACGCACTTTTCGTTTCCATTGCGACTCAACATGTGCCACTACGTAGAAAAGACTCTGATGCCGCAGCAATACAAGGAGGACCGCGAGAAGCGCAAACGTGAACTTCAACAAAATGAGAATGATGAGGGGGCTGAGAATGAAAAGGCTGAAGCCACACTAGACGCAGACATCGAGGAGTGCTATGAGTAAGTAGCTTTATTGGGTATTATCTGTAAGTTTTATTTAAAACACTTGTTGATTACAGGTATGAATTGGTTGGCGTTACAGTGCACACAGGAACAGCGGACGGTGGGCATTATTATAGCTTTATTAAGGAGCGCACGAAAAGCAACTACCACCCGCACGAGCGTTGGTTCCTGTTTAATGATGCTGAGGTCAAGCCTTTCGATCCCTCGCAAATAGCGGCCGAGTGTTTTGGCGGCGAAATGACGGTAAGCAGTCGCGCTAAATATTTAACCAGATATTTATTTAAAGTCCCTATTTCAATGTTCAATATTTTCATTTTATAGAGCAAAACCTACGACTCAGTAACTGAAAAGTATTTGGACTTTAGCTTCGAAAAGACAAACTCAGCGTATATGCTTTTCTATGAACGTCGCTTGCCAGAGCATTTGCAGCGGCGGCACTCGGAACTTCTGGCCACGCCAACGCCAAGTCCCACTAATGAGGATAAGACAGAAACGGACGAGCCGCCCAAAGTGGAGACGGTCAATATAAATAAAAATGATCTGACAACAGCGGACATTGCGGACTCAGTTAAAGCAGAGCCAGAGCAAGTGAAGATTGAAAATTTGCAGGAGGACGAACAAACCGAAGATCAAGACGGGACTCAAAAGAAGGGAGGGAGAGGAAAGGATCAAATTACAGCTAATTGTGATAATTTAAAGTCGAATAGCACAGAAACGCAGGCGTCAACCTCAAAGGCGGCCGTCGTCGTGGATGCCAAAGTGTCTAATAAACTACAACAGTTTCGTCCATTGTTGAGCAAGGAGCTAGAAGATTGGATTTGGCAGGATAACCGACAGTTCTTGCAAGATCGAAATATCTTTGAGCACACCTACTTCAAGTGGGTATAAAAATACTTTCAACAGCAGACAGTTGTTTTAAGCCTTCTGTTTTAGCTTCATGTGGCAGATTTGCGGTCACATACCACAGACGTTAATCTCGGAGACGGACGTCACTTGCATGGCCGCCAAGTTGTCCGTTTCATTTTTTATTGAAACATTCATACATGCCAAGGAGAAGGTAAGCATTAAAAAATTTATCTCAGCCTCTTGACATTTGCCTAATGTAAGACCCTTGCCCTTGACATAATGCATTGATATTAATAAATTTCATTAAAATATGTAAACTCTCAGTAGAACACCCAGAACAGCGATTTACAAAGTGTATTGTCTTCTTTTTTATAAATTTTATGTGTTTCAAATTATCTAATTTTTCTACTTGAATTTACGGTTTTAACCGGTTTAGTTTTCTTTCGCTTAAATGTGATCTGTAATTTTTTCAAAAGATAATCTCAATCAATGTGATACTTAAGACAAATGTCATTATATAGGATTAACAAATGCAAAGCCCAAAATCATTGTGAAATTATTTCCATTCTACAGCCCACCATGGTTCCTTGGGTAGAGCTGCTTACAAAGCAATTTAACGCCAGTGAAGAGGCTTGCGAATGGTTCCTATCGCACATGTCAGTTGAACCATTTTGGCCTGTGCAGGTGCTAATTCAATGCCCAAATCAAATGGTGCGTCAAATGTTTCAGCGTTTAGTCGTTCATGTTATACAGCGGCTGCGGTAAGTTCCTTACTGAGCATTTGATTAAAGTTCAACTTCAGATGAAAATGCTTATTATTTTTTGTAGCGCGTCGCATGCTGATCTGTATCTGGGTGTGGATACAGACGAAAACGACAGGGAGCTGATTGGTCAAGCATCATGTGTTACACGCTTCATAAGCTCGCTAATTTCACTGCTGGAACATGGAGCGCGCTCTCATCTGCGCCATCTATCCGAGTACTTTAGCCTGTTGTGTGAGTTCTCGCGCATGGGCGATGAAGAAGCCATGTTTTTATTGCGCATCGGCGTTCTCAAGAGCTTGGTAGACTTTTACCTGGGCCATAAGCAAACAGATAGTGTTAGTTGGCAAAAAAAATGTTGGAGCTTCCACTTTAATTTCTAATTTATATTGCAGATTGACATCAGCTCAGACAATGAGGACAACTCTTCAGATGAGGCGCTCTCAGTAGAAAAAATGCGTCCAGCATCGCTAGACAAAATGATTGCACTATGTGCTAGTCTTGTCGAGCGTTCGCGAGGCGCTGATTTTCGATTGCGTCTATCGCCCAAAGACTTTAATGCCATTGCCGGTGGAAAGGTGATACTGAAAAAGCTCGAAAGCGTTATATATTCCATCTAATCAAACATCCAAGCACCACTACATCGTCTAACCATCAATTATCAATCCATAAATCCACCAACAAACCAATCCAATGTCTAATCCTATAACCAATTGTTTTGCTTTGTTCATTGCTTATGTGTTATATATATTTATTTCACATATATTTCGTAGGGCTTTCCATTTTTGTATCAACAAATAAAGGATGGCATTAATCCGCACCAGACAAAGCATTTAATCCACGCGCTCTGCCGCTGGGACGATCGTTTGGCCACCCAAATCATCAGTATGCTCTTCGCCTCGGTCACCAAACACACTGAGCTCTGTGCACCATTCTTCAAGTTGCTGACACTGCTCACCGAGACACAGGGCGGTCCAGTTGGCCTGCCCTGTTTTACGCAGCTGGTGTTGCCACGAATGTGGGATGCGGCAGAGTACTGTCCACAGTCTGTGCTTGACTGGCTGTCGCTGCAGGCCACCAAGAATAAAATAGCGCATGCCTGGATTCTTCAGTCCGCCGAGCAATGGCTGGAACAATTTTTACTCGCGCATGATAATACGCGCGTAAGAAATGGTACGAAAAGGCTAACCAGTACATGTTTGGGCGCTATATTTTAGTTTTTATTCATATTGTAGCCGCTGCCTGCCTGCTGGTGGCGCTGGTGCCCTCCCAGCCGTTTCGTGCCAACTTCCGCGCTCACTCGCAACATAAGTTGTTGGCTCTCAATCCGCACAGTTATCGGTAAATGCTGCAGCTTTACTGATATGCAGTGTCATAAACTTCTGTTTTTCTATCCCCTTGCAGGGACATCAACAGCGATGCCCAAGTTGTGCTGCATCAAGTGATAACATTGCTGCTGCGGCTGCTGCGTCCAGCACGCGCTTATGCAGACATAGGGGCACATGGTACTACCAAGCTGACCGCCTATTTTAATCTACTCAGCTACTGTATGGTTTCAAAGACTGAAAAACTAATGGCAAGTTTGGCAGCACACAACCACACAGCTTTCTGCACATCTCTGTTCCGATCGCAGCTAAATTTGTTTCTTTCGCCAACAGATAGGTTCATTTATGCGCTCCCTATGGGAGCTGTTTCATCCGCGCCTCTCTGAGCCCAGTGTGCCGGCGCATCACAACAAACATGCCTTGCTCACCTTCTGGCATCACTCGCTTGTCGACTGCCCGGAAAATGCGGCCCTGGTGGCCAACTGCCCGGAGATAACGCGCAACATTGCATTTAACTATATACTGTAAGACATTCGTAGTGGGCACGGTTTCGCTTTAACAATCTGATATATTCATGCAGTGCCGATCACGATGACTCAGAGATTGTAACTTATAATCGGTCCATGCTGCCGGCCTACTATGGACTGTTGCGATTATGCTGCGAGCAAAGCCGGGCACTCACCCGACAGTTGGCGCAGCATCAAAATCTACAGTGGGCCTTTAAAAATATAACGCCACATCCCACACAATATGCTGCCGCAGTAGATGAGCTGTTTAAACTAATGGCGCTTTTTGCTACCCGCCATCCGGATGCCAGCGAACAGGAGAAACTGGATGTCATAGCTTTTAGACGCTCCGTCATTGTATCATACACAAGCAGTCTGGATGCACGGGTGTCCTGGTCTACCCTGATTAGCGCCCTGAAAATACTCGGTAAGATTTAATTAACAGCCGATAGTAATAGGTATAGTTTTCCTAATTTTTAAAATCGAATATGCCTTTTCCAGCTAGATTTCTGATCTAACCATTCTATAATCTATTTTATTTAATTTTAAATTTTTTATCCATTGGAAGTTGGTTAAAAAAATATGTTGGGCAAACGCATGTAACGGCAGAAGACATCTCCTTGCAATGGAGCATAAAATATTATCTATCTGGAGCATCCACAACAGTTTGTGAATGTATAAATTTATAAATAATAAGCAATTAAATTTTGCAACGACTTATGCAATTCTTATGAGGTTTCTGATTACATGTTCCGAATTTGGCTCATTGCTAATAAAATGGTTTGTTAGTGAGCTGCAAAGTTAAACAAGAAATCTAATCATTTCAATGGCATATAAAAGTAAATTAGAGAAAAATATTCACAAAACTTTCAATAAGAGAAAAATTGACTGTATATATTCTTTATCGGTATGACGAACTGATTGGTTTAGCAATTACAGTTCGACAAGCATCGATTTTGAAACCAGGCTTTGTATGCGAATTATCGGAAATTATCAGCTGGAGATGTTAAATCTAATGTAAAGGATTAAGAACTTTCAGTTATTTATTTTTTGATACCTCTTCCGCTCTCCCCAAAGTTAAAAAGGTCACGCTTTAAAGCTGTGAATACATTTAGATGCCGTATTAAAGGGCAAGTCCGAATATAGAACTATTTTTATGCTAAAAAATTATATCTACCAAATTTTATATATTTTTGAACTCACTCTACATTTTTGTGTTTTGATTTCCCTCACGCAGTGGACAATGACGATGACCGCATGCTGGTCATTTTCAACGGAGGCATTGAGATGTGCTTTGAGGCGTTGCACACGCTACATTCCATGCACCACGAGGCCACTGCCTGCCATGTGGCTGGGGATCTATTGGATCTTCTTGGAGAAATGGTGCTTCTGCTGGCAACGCTGCGCATGCGTACAGATAACCCAGCCCAAAAAAAGCAACAACAACAGCAACTGGAACAGCAAATGCAACTGCAGCAGCAACAGATGTTGCAAAAACAACAGCAGACGCAGTGTACTCAAGCCCCACAGACGCCCCAGCAAAAAGAGAAGCATCTACAGCAGCAAATGCAGCAACATCTGCAATTACAGCAAATGCAGTTGCAGCAACAGCATTTTCTGCGCCAACAGCATCAGCACTCGGCGCTAGCAAAGGCGCTGCCTGATGCGATCAAGCGACTAGCTACGCTGCTTAACACATTTAACTCGCCGGAGATTAGTCGTATGGCCCTCGAGGTGCTCAAGGAGCTAGTACGCAACACTAGCCTGGAGGCCACCATCATTCTGGCGCCCATTCTGATTAATTGCCATCTGTCCGTGGCCAATGCACCAAATGCAATTGGCCCGTTAGGACCTTATTTTCCGCGTCGCGGTGCAAAGCAGACGCCCTGGCCGTTAGGTGCCAAAAATTCACCTCGGCCCCCAAGGCCAATGGTGCAAATGTGCATTGCTTTGTCGGAACTGACGCCACGTGGTCTTGATATCGAGTACGATGCACAAGTGGATGCCTTTTACAGGCCGTATCATGACTTTATCGACGTCATGCTGCGCATGTGCGTCAATACAGGCACCCTTAACGACACCCTAGTGAAGCTTCACTGCCTGGTGGCCATAGAGTCAACACCGTTGCATTTCAACTACTTTCCTAAGTTCTGGGTGGGCATCCACAACAATGCATTAACACACAAGTAAGCCTGGCATTTCATTCTTTTATATTTTTATACCCTGAACCCTTAAAAAATGGGTAAAAGGGGTATAATGTATTTGTGCAAATGTATGTCACAGGCAGAAGGAAGCATCTCCGACTCCACAAAGTAAATATATATAATTGATCAGCATCAATAGCCGAGTCGATATAGCCATGTCGATTGTGTTATCTTCTGTGCTGTGTGTACATATGTGCTACTATTTTATTTGGTTTTTTTTCAGAAGCGATAAGTTGTTGCATTTGGTGTTGGTATCCCCTAGTCGGAAACTCCCGACTGGAGCCTCTTACTTGTTTAAACATTAAGCAAACAACAAAATCTTGAATAAGTTATGACTAGCTAGTCTAGACTAGCTAGCTAGTCTTGACTAGACTAGTCAATTGTTTTGCTTCTTGTTAAATTAATTTTCTTTAGTTGAAGTAGACCAAATGAAAAAAAAAAAGTTACAGTCAGTAGTATTTCGACAAATCCCAAATTTTTGTCTCTTTTTAAAAATTGATGAAACTTGTTTTAAATAGTAAGTTTAAAGCTAAACGAAATCACATTTAACTTAACGCCAATAAATCCATTGGCATTCACATTCAACCCATAGGGATTGATCTATCGATAAGTGTAAAAAACACGTCTCCATTAAAAATGAATATTTATCCAAACGATTCCATCAAATACTCACAGTTGCGCGTAGAACTTTCCGAAATCCTGTCTTAAGATACTCATATATCATATACGATAACTTCAGTAAAAATTTTTTAACCTCGCGTTAGTCACCAACCAATCAGTTAGTCTTGACAAACTAAGCTAACAAATGTATTTATAAGATTTGGTATAAAACTTAGAAAAAGTAAATGACTGCTTAAAGAGTTCGAAGAGTTTAGGGACCTAAGCGGAATGAGCCGTTATACGTTGTTTATATTATTTATTTTTTTATTAATGAATAATCGTTATTGAAACACTATAATATTTGCCAGTCTGGCCAGCTATGTCCCTATTCACATACGACAAAAGAGGATGGGAGGAAAAACATTTTTAAGAAAAAATAAAAATTTTTTTTGCCTTTTTTGATTTACAATGTTCGAAAAAAAATAGACTATAGTTACTTAGAAATAGAACAAATGAAAAGGAAGAACAACGAGAAGAAAGGGCTATCTTCGGCTAGCCGAAGATTTAATACTCTTGCAGACCCAACCTTTTCATAATGTTCATATCTAAGAAGCACAGGGAAAAAAGTTAATGCCGAGTATGGTTGACATGTCTTGAAAAACAAAAAAGTTTTCCATACAACAACTTAATTTTCGACTGATCGTTCCTATGGCAGCTTTATGATACAGTGGTCCGATCTTAATAGGATATTGCATATATATGAGGAGCACAATAAAACAAATAAATGCCGAGTATGGTTGAGATGTCTTGAAAAACAAAAAAGTTTTCCATGCAACAATTTAATTTTCGGCCGATCGTTCCTGTGGCAGCTATATGATATAGTGGTCCGATCTTAATAGGATATTGCATATATATGAGGAGCATAATAAAACAAAGAAATGCCGAGTTTGGTCAAGATAACGTGAAAAACAAACAAATTTTCCATACAACTTAATTTTCGAGCGACCGTTTCTATGTCAGCTATATGATATAGTGGTCCGATCTTAATAGGATTTTTCATATATATGAGGAGCATAATAAAACAAATTAATGCCGGGTTTCGTCAAGATATCGTGAAAAAACAAACAAATTTTCCATATAACAACTTAATTTTCGACCGATCGTTCCTATTGCAGCTATATGATATAGTGGTCCGATCTTAATAGGATTTTGCATATATATGAGGAGCATAGTAAAACTAATAAATGCCGAGTTTGATCAAGATATCTTTATAAACAAAAATTTTTTTCATACATTTTTTTTTCATATTTTTATAAAATATATTAAATAAATAGGAAGAGATATGGGTAGAGGATAAAAGGGGACACCACTGATCCGATGGGCGGAGATTTCTTATCCTGTCCGGAAAGCTTTGCTCCTCCCAGATGGACGTGGCTAGTGAATTCCCAACGGTTTCATGAAAGCTAATCTATGTAAAAACAAGTTATCATCAATCAATGAATTTCGGTCGAATTTTATTATTTACCTTTTAAACCGTTTTAGTTTAATCAATATCATTAAGCTACAAGATATATTGATGCCTATGTATATATTTATATGTCAATTCTGCTTTTAGATATTCGGAGCTGCTTGTGAAGAATCAGCTGCTAATAGAGTATCTGCATAATGTGCTCAGAGACGAGCGCAGCATGCTGAAGGATGCATTTGTGCGGGAATTTTTAGAGTTGTATTACCACAAAGTCGCAGCGCAGCTTCCTGTTGCGCGGATGATCTACACGATTAATTATGGCATGCACTCTAAGGATGATATTGACGAGCTGTGCGGCGATCTATTTGCCATACGTATTATTGCCCAAGCTACTGGTGTGCCGACTTCGGTGCGCAAGGAGCTGCGTGGATCATTACGGGCCCTGCTTAACAAGAGCGAACGTTTTAAGAAGGATGCGGAACGAGGTGATACACAGAATTATATGAAGGGCATTCATAAATATTATACATATTTGGTTTTTGTAGATCAATTTCCTAACAAGAAGCTAAAACGGGACTCCTGTCAGGAAAAGGAACACTCGCCACCGGCAGCGCAATCGGAATCGGAAACTGTAGACAATTCGACTGAGAAAGAGAAAGCCGAATCAGTCGATATAGCTAGCATTGTCGACGGGGCTACGGATACGCCCAGTGGAACTGTTGATGCAGCTAAAGCTGTTGAAACTGAACCAGCGGCATCCGCTGATAACGTGGACGTACGTATCGAGAGCCCAGAATCCGAGAAGCTAGAGAAAGCATCGATTCCCTCGTCCGACGATGAGACTGAGCTGGAGGATGAATTGGAGCCAACGCCAAAGCGCAATAAAAAATCAGCAAACAAAAAAACCGCACAAGATCGTGCTAACGAGGATCGCAAGAGGCGTCTTAGCACTTTGCTCACTATGGAGTCGTACATACAAAGCATTTTTACCATCATTAAACGGGACGCAAATGCATCGAGCGCGGCGCAAAACAAAGAACACCCCAGTGATGAGTTTGCAGTTGAGGCGTCTACATCAGCAGCTGCGGCAATCAAGTCAAAGCCTAGGGGTGCGTCTACGCCTCCTGAACCCGAGGACGATGTGCTGCAAGGCAAATACAACATTGAGACGGACACAGAAATGTGTTGCAAATCCAAGTTAAATGGCAGGGAGCAGGAGATAGCCAAATTCGATGAACTGTCGCCTGCCACAGCTGTTGTCGACAGCAACGTTCCCGCATCTGCCACCAGCTCAGTGGCTGGCGTTGCGTCAACGTCACAGGCAGCGAGTCCAACACAAATTTAGTTGTCGTTCAATGATTTGCTCAGCATTTTATTTTTCGGCAAGCCATTGGACTGATGACACGGAACATGTGGGGATCAGACAATGGCTAAGCTCTAAGGTACTGCGAATTTTTGGCCAAAGGTCGAAAGTTGCAGTGAATGATTTGAACAACCCAAGGTTGCTGCTTGCTTTGGGCGAGCCTGTGCTCCGGCAAAAGACTTTTGAGCAAGAGAATTATACTAAATTAAAGTTAATCTAGCAACATATTAAATCGGTAACAAATAAATTCAAATAGATATGTAACTCACATTCAGACAAACACTCGCACAACCACACACCCACATACATATATAATGCATCGATTCAACAAGCCACGGTCACACACATACACACATATATATATATATATATATACTATATATATATATATATGTCATGCATGCATTAACATACATAAACATATATACATACATACAGCTAGAAATAATGATAAACGTTAATATTTTAAGACTTCCACGACCGCAAATTGTCCAAATCATGAAAAAAAAACATTATTCCCATTTGAAAATGTTAGTTAAGTGAAAAGTTTAAATATTATATCATTGCGTGAACCTTGTTATGCACTACGAATGCCAAAAGCAAAAGCATTATAACCAACATAGAAAAAGAAAAACAATAACTGATAATGAAATGGAACGAAGAAAATGAGTTGAAAACCGGCTTATGAGACGCTAATATCTATATATGTTGTAGTAGAACCTTTAGATACGTTTTACGCTGCTAATTATATTTGGTTTAGTTTCCTGTCATGTTCGCAGTCGCTACCCGTTCTCTCCCTATTCATGTGCACTATAACTGTATTTTAGACACAAATGAACAGATATTATATAATTAACCAAATTTATTAAAATAAAAGAATGTGTAACACTTTTCATTGTAAATTTCCGAACGATACGAATTAAATACATTTTACGCTCTTTAGTTCATGTGAGAATAAATTATAATTACGCACATAAGTCTAGTAAGTTGTCCATGTAAAACATAAAGGACGAAGCTTAAAACCCATCCCTTTAAAGGGGCGCATAAAATGTTAGTCTTAAGCCACAGCAAACGATCGAAATCTTAAATATGTAATGTTGAAAAACAAAAGTGAATCATAAGCAAATAATAAAAAAAAATGCAGCATATAAGTTTAAATCATATGTTACTAAATATTAAATCTGATTTTATCTGAGATAGTCAAGATTAACCATTTTTGAATCTTGCAGTTTTTGCAAATTTTTTAGTAGTATTTAGGCTATCTATTCATATGTTGAGCACACTGTGTGTTCTGATCCTGCTTAACTGACGTATGAATTTATCCTTATAGTTACCCTATATGTATCTGCACACCAAGGCGAGGTTTCGGAAGTGAATTCCAGTAAGTATTGAAAATGGATATGAAACGTTGAATAGGCGAAAGGTAGGGTCGATGGGTTTCAAACTAAATTTCAAAGAACGCAAAAAACTATGAGAACCTATTTTAAAATTTTAATTTACTCCAAAATTATTTTATAAGCATATGTAAAATTTTATTTTAAATGTGACTTACCGATTACAGAAAATTCGCTTAGCTAAGTGGAAGTGGGAATTCAATTTAATATGCGGGAGTTTTAATTCTCTTAAGTTACAAACGCCCGTTAGTATTGTTGTATATATCTGATCAAGCGAGCATTCGCACAGAAACATGTTTTCCAAAAAGTTTGACTATTTATGAAGAGCTTAAGATAGTGTTAAAAATAATCTGTCTTATAAGACGACTTATGCATCTTATTGTTAATAAAGTAAAAATTCCCCTCTCTAAAAAACTTCAGAAAATCTTGCTCATGACCTCGAAAGGGGTTTTACTTATTAAGACTTGACCCCTCCTTTTAAAGATCTTACACGTAGTTTCCTGGTCGAAAGCCAACAAAGCCTCTGTCTAAGAACCGGATGCAAAATACTCATATATAAATCTATCGGTATCGTGTTCTGGGATACTTCCTGTCGAAGAAGGTTATCGGGTTTTCGCTGGTATGTTCGAATCGAATATTTTACTGAGTTTTGGGTGTCTTCAAATTGTGCCCAACTCAGCACAGTCGCTATAAGTCTACAGTCTCGCTTTTAAACTGACCGCAAGTATGTGCCGACGAAGGCTTAAAAGACTACACCTAGCGAACTGACTTCTGTAGGGAAAATTTCGAGGCACCAGATTAACAACGAGAAATATTTTTCTTTACCTATTTCCGACCTGGTTAGAAACCATCACCCTATTATTTTAATAATTATTTAATAAAAAAATTGTATATTCGATATTTGGCTATATAAACAAATTTCGAATAAACTTGCTTGAATATGAAGATATGTATAATAGCTTAAATATTTTATGCCTACAGTCGAAAATTACAAAGAACATTAAAATTTAATTTAGATTACATATAACCCAAAGTATTTGTGAAGTCTTACAGGATGTTATTTGAACAATTAAAAGTATGACTTTTTATTTTGGGATTGTCTGACCAAACGCTTGGGTAAATTAATAGGGTTAATCCTCCGTCACTTCCTTCTTCAGAGTATTCTTCGCAGGCCCTAGTTTAAAGGTACAACAGTAATTAGTTTGATGAATTTGAAAACTGAAAAAAAATGGATTTGAATCAAACCCTATTATAATACCCAGAACCCACTGAAAATGCGTAAAAGGTAGAATCGATTTTCAATAATTTGTATTTATACTATCTTCATCGGATTCAACAGAGTCCATCTAGCAGTGCCCTTCTGTCCGTATTTATAGGGATTAAAGGAGCGTTAATATTTGGCGCTGGACCTCCTATTGCACAATAAGATCGAGTTTATTTTAAATCATCGGTATCTATGTTCTGTATTTACCATATACCGTAGATAACACCTAATTTGGTATATGATCCTAACAAGAGAGTTTGCTTCCGAGTTTTCTAGTTATATTCATATAATTTTGCACAGATTTGGGTACAGTACATCTGTCGGAGATAGCCTTGATCAAGACCCTGGTAATAACGGTTGGTTTTCACTGCACTTTATGCAGATTATCATTCGCAAGACGATTCGACGATTACATGTTAAATACAACCCTCGAAAATTTATTGTTCACACGCATGCGCTGCGAAAATTGTCAAATTTATATATAACATATATAGATGTGAGCTCAGAATTCACAAGTAGTATTTGTATACCGAGAAAAATAACAACTAATTTGTGAAAAATGCCATGCGTCGGATGTGAAAAGGGTAAAACAATATTTAATCCTAGACTTATATTTTAGAAAATTGCCTTATAAAATACTTCACAGAATGCAACTGCACCGCAGAGAAGTGCTCTGAGAGCTGCAAATGCAACTCGCCTGGCAAATGCGGCTGTAACCCATCCAAATCAGCCAAAACTTCGAGCGGCGGTTGCTGCAAAAAAGTTGAGGGTGATGGTGAGAACAAAGAAGAGCATGAGTGTTGTAAGAACGCCAAGAACTGAATTAAGAAAGATGAATATATTATAAAAGAACCAAATCGATGTATTTTGCTTGCATTTCATGAAAATATATCCGCTAGTAAGCTATGTATTTGTCATCATTTAACATAATCAAAATGTTATTACTATACATTTAACAATAACTAAATGAACTAAACTATCGTATAAAATAAAATACCTTTACCAAAATTGGGTTTTTTTAAGATGGCAATGATTCATCCTAATTTCTAAAGTTGAAAAATATGATGTGTACGTTTAACAAACGAACCAACAACAACGTGCATTTTATTTAATTTGTACATATCTAAATTGCTTACACTTTTCTACAGCAAAAGATGCGTGGGGCAAGAATTAGAATTGTTCACATAAACGAGGGGCAGATAAAACATGAAAATTAAACAAGTTTAAATTCGTTAGCAATTTCTTTATATTACAGCGTTAAAAATCGGGTCTAATGATTTCTTTTTCAGTAGAGGTACATATAAATATGCATATAAAAAACAATTTAAAATTTGATTTTCAACAAATACGAGCCACTTAATAAGTATATTATATATAGTTATATATTACTTCGCGCTGCACTGAGCTATAAAATTAGTGTATGCAATATAAAAAAACAATATTCCTTTTAGGGCAATTAATTACTAGATTTTTGTTTCTAACCATTTAGGGCTTAAATTTATACAAATTAAACGACGACATTTCAAAAGTTTATAAACGCGGCCAACGGACAGGGACTTCATTAATTGCGCTTTGATTTACGCTTTTTGCGACTGTTTGAAGCGGCTGTTAATGAGTTGGAGACGGAGCAGCTGGTCGATGTCTGGGGCTGAGTTGGTACTTCGTTTAACTTGCCCCAAATGCTGTTCAACAAGTTATAATTGATTCTCTTGCTTGATTTGCATGCAACTTTGTTGTTGTTATTGTTGTTAGTCGTTTGTGGCTGGTGTGTCCCGGGAGGCGGCTGCGTTTTGCTTTGTGCGACTTGGGCGTATTCTCATGAGCGCTTTACCTTGCCATTGACCGCATTGGCTGGCGAACGGCTGCCGCTAGCATTGCCACCACCGCCAATGGCCGCCTCAGCCGCATGCGTAGCCACATGTTGAATGCCCTTCTCCATGCAACCTTGATAGATTGGACGCATAAACTGTAAAAATTTGAAACGGAATAATTTATTTAAATATCATGTGAATGAATTCTTTCTATTATTACTTACATTCTCCCACATGAGTGTTGCAAATTCGTCCAGCTTGCCACCAAAGTCGCTCAACTCACCGCTATATCTGTGGGTATGGCAAATGGATTGAGAATTAGTTTGGAAGCTCAGTTATTGAGTTTTCAGTTGCCGATACCCACCTAATGTACGCCCAGAGTGCCAGCGTTAACAACGCTACACCCATGACAAGATTGCAGAAGTTAGCAAATGTATAGAGTCCTACCAGTCCAAAGATGCCGCTGACTATATACATGATGACTGCGCAGGCAAAGTACACGGCCGGCGTACGTGCCGCCTTGAATATGTTTTTGCTTTCATTGTGTGCTCGATAGTTGACAAAGACCTCCTCCAGATCAGAATCCAATTGGAGGCGGAACTTCTCCGTGAACTCCTCGCCCCCCATTTTACGTTTTGTGGCAAATTGAAATAGAGCCTTGTCCTTGACGCGCAAATGTTCCGTTTCCAGGTGTGCAGTGCTTAGGTAAGGCCGCGTGCCGCCACACACTTCCTCCATGAGCTGATTGTACAATTCCTTGGCGGCCGCGACAGCAGTCAAGTGATTCGCTTCGGCTGTGGCCACCAGCATGCTCTTCGGCTCAGGCAGTTCGTTGCCCTTATAGATGCTCATGTACGATTGAAAGTACTGAATAAGATCACGAGCTCTAACGCGCTGCCCACTTATCTCCTTGTAGACCAAATTGTCAGGTGCCAACAGCATAGGAACCAGCGTTCGTAGGCTGTTCTTGAACTCGGGCGTAATATCCTTAAGACGGCCATCGAACTGTGGATTTGTGGCAACATTGAGACCAGGATGTGGCATCAGGAAACAGGCCACCTCAGTGAAGCAAGATGAAATGTGTCGACGCAATGACTGCAGTTCCGGGTGTTGTTTGTCGGAGACCTCGAGCCGTCGCTTAAGTATCTTGTCTCCCCCCAAAGCACCGTACTCTGCCTCGTATGGGAAACTCCAGTCACGCACCAAAAACTGCAAACGCTGGAATGGCTTCTTGCCGGTGTCGGCCAGCGCCAGGCGGCCGTATTCGGTGAACAGCTGCAGGTGCTGCAAGTCGTCTTCCTGGATGTTCTGTGAGAGATTATATATCTGCACCGAGGAAAGCATCGTGCTTAGCGCAAACACTGTCGCACAGTCGCGTACGGTACTCTGGCTATCGAAGGCACCCTGTGTATCCAGCAAAATAATAGCAATCTTGTCGCCATTGGGATAATCGTGCAGGAATATATCGGACCACATTAGTATGCCGGTTGTATCGCGCTCCGATCCGCCGCGCCATGAGAAACCCGACAGTGGTTCCGACTCATCGCCCAACCAGTCCGTGACATCGTGTCGCACATACTGAAAAACTTTGTTGATTAAACAGCTTAAAGACATATATATCTACTCACTATACCTTTGAGTACATGTAGCGAAGAAAGAAGTCGAGCAGAAAGCTTTTGCCCTTGCGGAATGCACCTGCTACGGACACAACGCATACGTAGCGATCCTTGACCTCATCCCGCATTAGCACCTCACTAAGCGCATCCTCGTTAAGCACAAATGTGTGCTCCTCAGATGCATTGATCACCTGCACTGCCGAGCCGCCAATTGCTGTCCTCTCCATGTGTATGCTGTGTATAAAGGTGTGTGCGTGTGTGCGTCTGTGCTTTGTTTTTCAACTTGGGTTTTCAATGTTAATTTGAAGTACTGCAAAAAGAAACACAATAAAACAAGTGAAAGATTTAATAATAGTTGCTTTGTAAACGGCAAGTACAAATATAAAGCTATATATAAATATATATATGTATGTATATGCACATATTAATATATATATATGTATGTAGCTGCCATCCTGTCAGTTCACAAGCGGCAACTGAATTGAACTAACGGTTAATTGCGCAAGTTCTATTCAATTGCGTGAGTCTGGCTGTGTGACTTTTTTAAATTTTGGCAGGCGGCATGCAATTATGAAAGGTGGCCAAAAATAAATTTGACTATGCGCTAGTTTGCTTGGCACTGTTAGCAGCATACGGAAGATGAATTTTGTTCGGCCTGTTCAGTTCAGGTGCGTAGATTCAGCACGTAATTAACTTGAGTTCATTTTTGCTGATTCGTCACATACAATTAGAATAACATGCCGAATTCAATTTTCCAACTACATTAAAAATCACATTAAAATGCTTTGGTGCCCTGTTGCTGCTGATGACGTTGACAACTTTTTGTCGCTGCGCCCTTGACCAATGCTGTAAATTCTAATTGAAAACATAATCAAAACAACGAAATGTCTGCAAGCGACTGGTTTAGCCTACACTACAACAACGATAATCACAACAGCAGCAGTCATGCTTATGCTAAAAACACGATTGTCGGTAAAACCTTTACATGTAAATGTATTCTTCTGTTCGTTGCAATAAAATATTTGTCAAATTTAATTAAAAGCAAAAGCCGCGTAGTGACAGTCCCCACAGCTGTCAACCAAAACTGAACTGCACAGTACGCAAGACACCCGCTGTTCGCATATCCAATGAGAATCTAAATGAGCGAAAGATCGAAAATCTCTCTCACTGACATCTGCTCTCTATTGCTCTAGCCTTCTCTTCTTTAGTGGCAATGCTGTCAGATTGGTTAGCTCAGCAGCTGCAGCTGTAATAATTATTTCGTTTAATTAACAGCTGTCAACGAAAGCAGAAACAACTAACACGCTCCGTTTTTTATTTTTATGACTGTAGGTTTTGTGTGTGCTAGTTTGGATTTTTAAAATATTTATACACTGCTGGTAACACCGTCTGGCAGACTTACTTGCTGTCAAAGCTGTGCTCAGAACGTGTTGCAGGTGTCAGACAGAGCCAACTATATGTCTCGATCACCAAGTTCAATTGTGATCGACGTGCTAGTTGTCTCCTTTTGGCTCATCAGGTATTTATTCGAATTGGGATGTAAACATCGAAAGCGAAAAGTAACAGCAACACTAGCGACGGTAACGCCAGCGTCGACGCTGGCAGCATGATTAGTCAACTGGAATGGTTGCTGAGAGCAACAGCAACAATAACAACACAACAATAACCAAAGCAAATGAGGCAGGCAGCAGCAGCGATAGTCGTGTTCTGAGCAGCGCTTAAAATGAAAGAAAAAAAAATTGGACGCGAAACAGGGAAAACCATATACGAAAAATAAAGGTTTAATTTGCTTAAATTAAGCAGCGCAGTGTTTAATTAGCTTTAATCAAACCATAAAACTAGAGGGTCCGCGCCATAGCCCACCCGGGCACACAAGGCTCTATCACTCGCCATCACTAGCCCGAGTACGCCATCACAACATGCAGCGTGGACACCGCCCAATTGCCAGCTTTCATGGCCTTAAGCAGCACGTCGCAGCGTTTTACCTCGTGGCAGTTTGTTTGTTGTTAAGTTATATTTGCGTATCCGTGCAGGAATCCCAGAATATTCCGGAGGAAGAGCCCGTCTACTATTACGTTGGCTGCTATACTGCTCGAACAGATCTGCTCAAAGAATCGGTCTACGCAAAGACGCCTCAAACGTGCATTGAGATATGTGAGCACCAGGGCCACAGGTACGCTGTCCTGGCTGCCGAGAAGTGCTTCTGTGTCAATCGTCTGGAGCCTCATGAAAAGCAGGACGAACAGCTGTGCCACACGCGATGCCTGGCCAATAAGGCGCAGTATTGCGGAGGCGTGGGTGTACATTCCTACTATTCCACGACGTTGCTAAGGCAACCGGCCCCACACCATCTACGGATGGTCAACAGCACCGAGAACAGCATAAGCCTCGCATGGGACGCCTATGAGCCCAACAAGCTATTGCTAGCTGGCGGTGTCGAGGCTCTCGCGCCACAAACTCAGCAAATTTCCAACATTCTGATCAAATGTCAGGTTGTTCAGACCTACTCAACGCTTCCCGCATTTTTGCAGCCCGAGTTTATAGTGCAGAACACGGAGACCCGCTTTGAGCTAACTGATCTCCAACCCGCGACTCTTTACAATATTAGTGTTCGCGCCATTTGCGCACAACAACAAGAAGAAAGCGAATGCGGCCATGCTACACTAATGGCCAGCACAGAGGTGGGCTTACCAAGCCCAGCGCCCACACAGCCCAAGATTCTCAGCCGCACTAAAAACAGGATGACCGTGGAGTTGGCGCCCGTACACAACGACAATGGTCCGGTATCGAAACTTCTTATTGTTGTCGAGTTTGTTGACGATTCCCTGAGCCAGCCATTTGATGAACAGCTCTTGGGTAGCTGGCAGGATGCGCAGCAAAATGGCGTTCCCTACTACATAGCCGCAGAGCTGAACTACGATCAACCAGAGGACAACCGCACTAGGCACTTTGTTGTAGGAGATGGCAAACGCTATGGACGCTATCGCAATGTGGCTCTAGATCAGCTGACAGAGGAGCAGGATCAACTCTTCCATGTTCACATTAGCTTGGGCGTGGTAAGTAATAAATGCGTTAAAGGTAAACCTAAAGAACTGGATACTAATAATCCTGGCTTCTCTCCCATAGGTAAGCACACTGCGGAACGTCACTAAGACACTGTACACGCGTAGCAGTCACGCACAACATGCCAGCTCTTTGAACGATTTCAGCTATGCAACATTTGAGAAGGGTCAGTCGTCGGTGGTGGCTTTGGCTGTAACCTGTGTGATCTTCGGTAGCTGCCTGTTGCTTAGCCTCATCACATACTTTTATTTGCGCTACAAAACCTGTCACGCTCGCGGCCTGATCGGACGTGGACGCAATGCTCACGAGATGACGCAGCAGACGCCGATCATTGAGCACGAGAACAACGGATATCTTGTGGAGGATGAGCAGCCGGTCTCACTGGAGAGCTTCAAGCAACAGCTACACTCGACGCTTGAGGGACTGGAGCGTCTGCCGCGCAATGGACTGCGCCTCAATTCAAACGATGTTATTGGCGAAGGGCGCTACGGAGAGATCATCACAGGACGGCTTAACGTGGCTGAAGCCATTAAGGAATGTGCGCTCCATGTTTTATCGCTGAACGATCTGAGCGGTGGCAGGCAGGCGCAGCTGTTGCGGGAGTTGCGACAGCTAAGACAAATGCGCCACCACGAGCTGCTCCTAGACTTTTATGGCATTTCGGCGAGCGCGGACTGGTTCTATCTGGTTTTTGAGCTGCAGCATGTGAGTCTTAAGCGACGACTGATCGAGAGCCGTCAGGCAGCGCCAGCGCCGCGTCTAACTGTGCTAACGGAGCAACTGGTGCTACAGTGGATGTACGAGCTGTCAAGCGCACTGTCGTATCTGGGGAGCTGTCAGGTGTTGCACCGGCAGCTGTCCAGCTACAGCGTGTACGTTAGCGCCGACTCCAAGCTTAAGGTATGCCTTCTCGGACCACTGCACTATGTGAACAGCAATGGCCAGGCGTTAGATTTGGGCCGCTGGCTGCCACCCGAGGTGTTGCGTCACCAGCACTTCACAACAAAATCTGTTGTGTGGTCCTTTGCCTGCGTCGCTTGGGAGTGCTGTGCCCTGGGCGGCACGCCTCATGGAAACGTTGCCAGCAGCCAGCAATTACTAGAGGCGATACGCTCTGGCGTGCGTCCTTCGCAGCCCGCCTATGTCTACGGCGATCTTTACCAGCTGCTGCTCAACTGCTGGCAGATTGAGCCCAGCGAGCGCATTGGCTTCGATGATGTGGCCTTTGGCGTGCGTCAGCTGATGACCTCAGCTCGGCATGCGCTGTGCTTTGATCGCTCCACTTCGGACACCATGGAGACCCTGCCACTGTATCTGCCGATGCTTGAGATAAGCAACTAAAGTAGCCAGGGAACAGACAGAAGCCAACAAGTACACGTGGACAAAGAAAGCGGTTGTGACTACCCAAAAGCAATTTTGATTAACTATACCCTAACGTTTGACACGCATATGAATGATTGATAAACGTTGCTATTTGTGGCTTAGTGCTTTCAAAACCTGCGCCATTTAAAGCTTTCGTATATGTATTTACAACTGCATGTGTCTTAATCAATGATTTATATTGGATAGACCGAGAAAAAATGTTTGTTATTTGTAAAATTCTACCAAGCTCATGCACTCTGCATTTTTCTATACATATACATTAGTTTTAGCATAACTCAAGTATATCAATTGTTCTCGTAAGTAAGAGCGTTGTGTAATCTCTTTTAATTCTCTTTCACCCTGCGAGCTTGAAATTCCTTTTCAAACCCAAAAACCTACCCACAACAGACCGAAACTAACGACTGTGATCGAATGGATACTCGACCGAAACAAATGAAAAACACAAGTACAGAGAGCAATGGGAAGAGAGTGATATATAAATATATATAGAGAGGGAGAAAGAGAGCGAGTGAGCAAAGGTATGAGCACAATTAATGCATATGAAATAAAAAATATAAATAGGTAGCCCATGTAGAAATTCTCGATTAATCAGTTTAAAGGTCGCACGACTAGGGGGTCGGACGCTTGCACACAAAATGCAAACTTTGAAATAGGTAATTGGGCAAACGGCAAAAAATAATCGCGGCGAAACAACAAGAATAACAAAACAAATATGAATTCTTTAGATGATACTCAGTTCAAATAAAGTATTTCTAATTTTTAAAGCTTTCGACATGAGAAAAATGTTTTGTTTTTAAAGATATCTTAGCCAAACTTTACCATGCTCCTCAAGTGTGGCCTACCATATCATACAGTTCTATTGGAAGAAGCAATTGCGAGTTCCATAACTCTCCTCCCATAGCGCAAGCCAGTAAGCCATATGTATAGAAGGGTATTTAATTTTCGGCGGTCCCAAGAACTACTTTTGTATTAAAATGTTTAGGTGAAACAGATATAATGCCAAAATATTACGTATCTAATATTGGACTATTCAGATTCAGATCAATATCAATAGTATATAATTTATAGGATTACAAAAGACTGTTATAAAAACTTCTATTCGCTTACGATAACAAATTTGCCCATTTCTATGGGTACAGGGTATACAAAATAATATCTTTGGCAAAATGAAAATGATTATGCATTAGTCATCGATGCAAGTAAGAGGCTCCTCTAAGAGATAATTTTCTTTGGAACTTGTGGGTACATCGGAAACCGCTGACTCTAACTGAGTACAAATGTGTGTACACACGTCGTATGTACATATGTGCGTGCAATGTATAAAACATCCAATTGGAAACACAGTGCTAATCTGGCTAGCACCACTAGGAGCCTTGGTTTGTGAACAGCTGATAAGCCAGCCAATTGCGTATAAAGCAAACAAAAATTACCAAAAGACAAAGCACATGTTTGATATGGCTGAAATTTATTAGAAGTGTAAGCGCAACGATCCAAAGTTGCAAAAACAGCAACAACATCAAATGTACATATATAAATATGCATGCATGTATGTATGTATATATATACATACAAACAAAAGCTTCAACCATTTTAGCGCTTAAACGACTTTTGCACTCGTCGACTCGGAGTCAAGGTGAATAAAGTTACCAAACAGAGCAAAGGAGCTATGGCTATAGTAAGAGCAAAAACAATAAAAATCATTGGCACACATATTCAGATACGGTTGTTCATTAGTATAAGCGATGCAAATTATTAATAAATCAAGCTGCGAGCCCTGAAATGACGCTATCCACTGGCACACGAAATTCGAATGTAAACGTGGATAAGAAAAGAGATATATTATTGCTACCACAAACCACCAAAATTGGACACTTTGACTGCCATTTCGCCAGACATTATATTTTGTGATTTCAATATAAAATGATGCACAGGCATACATATAACCACGGCGACGACGCAATAAAATTTGTTTTTGTTTTTATTACAAACAGAGTTCTGCGGCTTGGGGGCAAGGTAAAACTGGTTATTTGGCGCAGCGTACGTTCAAGTGCCCAAACAGCCTAATACTGCGAACAGCTTGTATATTATTGATATTCACAGATTCTATCAAAATATTACTCACTTTAATAAACAATTCGCCACCAGCGCGCCTGCTGTTGCTTGCTCTTTTTTAACATTTACTATGCTCACCTTTTTTGTTAGTGGTGTACGTAACATCGATATATCGAGCGACGCGATGTTTTTTTTTTCATAATCGATGTTTGGGGATCGATAGTAATCTCAAATATTGGTTTCAAAATATTGTATCAGCTGATTTTTTATTTAGAACTAATCGATTCAGCAAAACACAAGAATAGATTTTGTCTATTTTTCTTTGCATTTAATTTGACAAATCATATTAACAATTTTTGTACCACTTTGTATTGTAATCACTTACATCGCTATAAAAACGCAGTAATTAATAATTTTTACGAACAGTTTCTATTTTAATAGTTTAAATTTAATTATATTTATTAATTGTGAAAAAGCCTGTTTTCAGTCTTTGAAATATTTCACTCAACCAAAGAATCTATCCACCAAAGTATTTTGCTTTTTTTTTTGCATGAAGCTAAAGCTAATTTTAACCTCTCCTTCAAAACCAGATCGATGGCAAAACATGTAAATCAATTGAGTAACGAAATATATTTATTAGACACTTGCGTCAAGATTACCGTAGGCTTTTCCGATAAAGATCTCCTTTAGTGACGCAATTCCAATCCAGTAGTTAGTTGTTGTAATCGTTTGCAATGCAAATTGGGTGTTGTTGCGATTGCTGCACCTGTTGAGGCTTTTTAGGGAAATAAGTATCCAAATACTATGCAAGATTCTTTATGTATGTACATATATATATATTTCCTTTATACTCTAAAGACGATTGCAAAGCAACACATTTGATGAAAAATTACAATTTTTTAGTGTGGTATGTTTTAAATTGTGTGCCTATTGACATACATATGTACATTTGTATTTGCAGTTGATATCAGAATTAGCCCAGGAAACCGGAAAACATTCCTTTTCAAATAAAGAAATCGAATCATCATAAAAATGAAGATAAACTTCGTCGATTGCTTCTCATTCGGGCTTCATAATACGAAATTTAATTTTTTAAAAATTCACCTTTTTTTTATGTATCTTTCGTTTTCATACCTTCAACCTCGCACCTTTTATGACGACGCTTATCCAACTATTTATTATACCCTTGCATGGGGGTATTATAATTTTGTCTCTCAGTTTTAAACCTATCGTCATGAAACTTTGCAGAAGTGACTCTTTCTGTTGCACGCAGTAAATATGTCGGAATCAGATGGGTCGGACGACTATATCATATAGCTGCCATCGATCGGTCGGAAAGTAAGTTGTATGAAAAACTTTTTGTTTTTCAAGATATCTTAACCATACTCGGCATTTACTATTTTCCCTGGACCAAGCACCATGAGCATTATAAAAAGGTTGGATCTGCAAGGGTATTAAATACTTAAACCAAAGATAGCCCTTCTTCCTCGTTATAGAATGTAATATCAAATATAAAATTGTTTGTCTGACTGATTACATTCTAACATTATGTAATGCAGGTGTGAAAAAAATTAAAACACGGTTGTATGAAACTTTATTGTTTACTATCAACGTCCAACTCCTTTTCAAAGATCATTGTTTAAATTCATGAGAGGGGTGTTTCACTCCTTGGCGAAAATGGAGTGAAGTTTTCGTTCAAATTCCTTTCGAAAAAAAATTATGAAAACTCGTTTGAGACGAGTTTCACACTGTCAAAGATTTTTTGGGTGAAGTTTTTTGATCGATTTTCTTTAATCTTGTTTTTTCAAGCCCTACATACGAACTTAATGAATACATATTTCAGCGATTTTAGATTCCATTCGATTAGAATTCCATTCGCAATGGTGGTAAATTGGCGGAATAAGATTCTATGAATCTTATTCAAAAACATTTTCAGAGACTTTTTTGAAAATTCATTTGAAACCTATTTCATACAGAATAAGGATCAAAGGATGTCAGGGCGAATTTTTAAGTTTCGTCCGATCGCAGTAAGTTTGGAAATTCTTCTCGCAACTGTGGAAATTTGGGGGAAAATTTGCCACATTTTGTTTACCGTCAGATCGGCTTAAAACTCATTTTCAGAAATCTTTGTAAAAATTAATTTGACCGCTCTTGGGTGGAAGTGTGGTTCAAAGGTTTAATAAACGAAAGTTTATTTGTCGGACTCAAGATTCTCATCAAAATACTGGGCAGAAACAGTTGATTCCAACTTTTTGTTCTTCATTCTTCCGACTTTAAACATATTTTAAAATTTAGATTTTTCAAAAAGACATACAAATGGCGCATAAGGCAAAAGCGACTTTACAAGCTATTTAATAAATAAAAATATCTAAAAAAAATAAAAGATTTTTCACGTGCGGGAAATGGGTAAAAAAGTTATATATATAGAATTTTAATTTTAATTTTTAGATTTACTAAATTTGCTAGACTTTTTATATGTGTTAACATAGAACTCGGTATCTTAAATTAGTCTTAAAGAGCATCGTTACCAGGTAAAGGTATTTAATTGTTTTACACAGTTTTGTTACAAACTTTATATAACTTATGAGTTATTATAGCTCTAATGTAAAAATTACAGTGCCAATTGTAGTTTTTGGATTTGGTCAAAGTATATTTAAAACATAAAAGGTTTTTCAAACAGAAATACACTAATTTTATCTGAACGAAAATAGTCGCATCTATGACAAGTTTCATTAACATAGTTTAGTTTCCAAAAAAAAATAAAGGAAGATCAGATCAATGTATTAACGGCAATGTCTCATTTAGTTCAAAATTATTATACCGTTAAGATTAAATAATTTAATTTAATATAAAAGGATATAAGGAAGTTTTAAAGATAGTCTCCTAATATTTTGCTTAGCTTTGTCTTCGTAATGCAGGCAGTTCATATATCGGATCGGATCGGACCACTATATCAAATGGTTTTATTGGGATATCTTAGCTAAACTGGATACTATTACTAGTTACTATATTACTATTTTTACTATTGTCTTAATTATTATTATGATATGGGCCTATATATACAAAGCGATTAGAATGAGCAAGACACTACATAAATTATGGCCTATCCTATGCTGTATAAATATGTTTTTTAATGAGTCAGTGTATCGCAAAGATAGAAAAATAAAACTCTGTTTTTGCTTATCTATTTATATATTTAAAAGTCTAGCAATTGCATTAAATACAGTATTTGATAAATGTTTTTTCATAAGTTACGTAAGTACAATAATAACTGTTGACTTTGCATTAATCTAAGACCTCAAAGTCCTTCAACGCGCGTCAATGCGCTCGCCTGGTAATACCCGCATCTGAGCACATGCTACGTGAATCGCTCAAGCAGGATGCATAGGCCATGGCGTGGGGTATGAAGTGCTGTTCATAGACGCCGGAAAAAAGCTGAGCATATGGTCCACTGGCGAAGACGGCCACATCGTCACCGCCGTGTGTCTCAGACTCCAGCGGCACCGCTGTAGGGAACATGAAGTCTTTGTTTTTCATGTTGATAGAACGTAGATTCTTACGCTTGATGGCGCCTCCTTCCTTCAGATAGTTGGTATTATAGCCAGGTCCATTGGCATAGCTAAGCGTGGCATATGGCAAATCATCGGCTGCCAGTTGGCCGTCATTGATGCCAAATATGTCATTCTTGCGACTTGAATAGCCTGCAAGCGACATTGTATGTGAGTGATCCGAGGTGACCACAATTAACGTATCTTCTATGCTGCTGTGCGTGCGTGCCCAACGTACTGACTTGTCGAACTCTGCCGTCTCATCAATAGCGCGAAGGGCCAACGTATCGTGGTGTCCATGGTCGATGCGACCTCCCTCGACGAACAGAAAGTAGCCACGTCCGGCACTCTGGCGCTGTAGGATTTTCAGCGCTGCTTGCAGCATCTCCTCCAGCGTCGGCTGCTCTTGGGCATCCGCATCCAGATGGTAGGGCATATGATATGGAGCGAATAAGCCAAGCACGCGCGTCGTCTGGTTGGATAACTCTAGTAACTGCCTACGTGTGTGTACATAGTGGGCGCTGTTGGTGTGCTGTCGTTGCCATTCTTCGATGAGATTACGCCCGTCTTTGCGGCGTCCCAGAACTCCGTTCGGATCCCTGACATGTTCAGGTAAAAAGTTTTGGCGTCCCCCGCCTAAAATGACATTCAGATTTTGACCCACTTGACTGTTGACCAGCTGTGACGCAATATCCTCACAGATAGTTGGATCAGCCCCGTCGGCCTTGATATCTGCGTCGTTCTCCCAGTTGCGATGAGCTATGTGGGCGTAGACACCCGCTGGCGAGGCGTGTGTCACTGATGTCGTTGTGATCAGGCCCGTGGCCATGCCCTGGCGCTGGGCCCATGCCGCAATAGACGCCACATGATGTTCCGGCTGGGATTGGGCATGGCAATCCTTCATATGCACAGCAGCCGTGACGCCTACAGTTCCATAGTTGGCCTTGACGCCACCAAGATAGGCGGTGGCCGTGCAGGCTGAATCAGCCACCTGCATGTTGGCACAGTACGTCTTGCTAAGCCCAACATAGGGAAACTGCTCGAAGGCAAACTGTTTCTCCTCGCCGCCCAAATAGACGCGACCCGCCGTTATTGTTGGTATGGACATTCCGTCGCCCAAAAACAATATTATATTCTTGGCCAGCTGTGTGTTCAGCCTCATTTTGCTTTCCAGCTGCTGCTCCAGTGTCTGGTTGGCGATTCCGCGCCAGTAATCCGCATACTGCTCCACCCTTTGTGATGAGAATGTCATCTCCGGCATGTAAGCGCGCTTGGAGCGTTCTACCCATCGACTAGTTGGTTCGGCTCTATACACAGGATGCATGCGCCGCTCAGCTTCGCGTGTTGGCAGTACTGTGAGTGGGTGCAGTTTTGTCAGTTTTTGGTGGCTCAGGCATACTGCTTAATGTCCAATCACTTACCATGTCCGCCGGCCAGCGCAATGAGTCCGCCAAGTGCGAATAGTTGCAAGATCATCTCAAGTAGCTGTCTACGGCTTGCCTGTACCTTGCTGAGCACGTTTCAATCGGGAATGATACCGACTCGCACGAGACCGGCGTTATTTATAGTCGTGCTCGATTTCATAACAGGTCATCGCCGCCGCCATAACGGCTGA